CTTCTGATAAATAAGAAAAGGACAAAAAGAAGCTGGGTATAAAGACCATAATTAATGTAATGTTTAAAGCCAGTTGTATGACAGTGATGTCCAACATTACCAGGCCTGAGCATACATTATGAAATCTATTTATTAAATAAAAATAAACAAACCAAAAGCGTGTTAAAAGTTGTTAATTCACCATCACTTTTCAACCTGGGTTGAGTCATGTTCCAGCAATTTTTCTTCTCCGTCCATTGGAACTTTCTGTCTTCAGTCAACTCTCTTGTTTTTAACTGTGATACTTCCCTCTTTGTGTGTGCATGGCATTCTCCAAAGACAAATTTCATGCTGCTTCCTCTGAACTGGCTAATGTGCAACTCCTTGTAAAACCTCAGGGAAAGATAACATGTGCTTTGCAGTCAGCATGCCGTAAATCACTTCATCTGACCTGACCTCGTGGGTCATGTAAAGGCAATCCCTCCTTTCAATGTTCACCTCCATTTTCCACATGATGTATTGGCTGGATGTGAGTGAGTCACTTGATATATGTGTATTAGACGACAGCTAAAGGAAGAGGATCACTAAGTGTCCCTCATATCCTACAAATATTGTTGATTTGAACACACAGCTTTTTTAAATCTAAATGATAAAGAACTAATGTTATTCCAAGAGACAAAAGTCTGTTCGATTCAAATATGTTTGTTACACTTTATGACCTGACCTCCTCCTTCTGTCTTTGGATACAAGGATGAAAACCAGAGCTTCTACACACCAGCTGGCAATAGGACACCAAAAACACATCAATTTGTCTCATATCGCTTTTATTTAACTTGCCCTTGGGCTCACTTTAACATTTATACGTCAAAGACGGACTTAAGTAGAAGAAGAAGAATCTCTTTCAAAGATAATATTTTCAATACTTGGTATTGGTACCTATATGGTTGGTAACTGTTGTGCATGTTAAGGGTGTGTAATATACCATAACAGACTAGACTATGTTTCAGCAATACAGAAATAACTGTGGCCTTGATCTACCAAACTGCAGAGTGCCAGAAGGAGGCATTTTATTAGAGGCAGGACTTTATATAAAAGTATCTCTGTTAGAGAAGTTTAACTGTTTGTATTTTATGACAAAGTGAATATTTTTGAACAAATACCATTTACTGAAAATGTACTGTAACAGCTGCCATCTGCTGTTGCTTGTGATTTTAGATGTTATCTTTTCAGGCTTGTGGGGATATTTGACATTACCCTATTTCACGGTCGCGAGTGTATTGAATCATCCGAGGCCTTCCGGTTTAAACTGCCCGTGGGGAAAATGAACATGTGAGTGTCAGTCCATTCGTGATAAAAATCTCTTTCTTTGTGTCTTCTTTTCTCATTGTAGAGCACACCGTTAGGGCTTTCATATTTGCAGAAAACTTTGAATTTTTGCACATAGATGTGCCTAAAAATGCACAGGACACTTGGAAAACACACTAAAGGGCATATAAAACCAGAAAAAGCATAATATGGCGCGTTCGAATTTGATAACTCCATTGTGCAAATGCGAGGGGAGAGGGTGACACTGTAGGAGAGTGGAGGCTGAGGTGTGGCTGAGGTGTCGCCAAACAGTAGATTGCTTTGGTTTCATGCTGGTGCTCAAGGGCCTTTTATATTGAATTTACCTAAACAGAGGACACAATTAATAATCTTCACAAAAGGGGAATTATCCTTGACGTTACGATTATGGTTGAAATGTTAAATTTGTTGACACAGTAGTGCTGGGTTCCAGGTTGCAGGTTGTAAAACGGTAGGAAACCCCACAGATAGCTATCAGGTCGTAATTTTCCAAAGTTCACAATTCAGGAAGTGTCATAATGTTACACAACATTTACATGGCTGAAAAATTTAATAATAATAATACTTGTTGTTGAAAGACCAGGGGTCTCATTTATAAAAGAGTGCGTAGAATCCATACTAAAAATGTATGTGCGCCAAAAACCTGGAAATGGCGTGCGCACAAAATGATTCAGATTTATAAAACCATTCGTACGCACACCTGCATGCAATGTTCCCTTTTCTAAATAACGATCCAACTGGAAATGTGCGCACTTAGATTAGTCCCATGTTCCGCCCTCTACACGCCCACATTCAACCATAAACGGTCAATGCAAAGAAATGCATACAAACGAGGGGGCAGATCAAAGGTTTCCAGTGTTGGATCGCGGCGAAACCCGGAAGTTTAAACAAAGAAACAAAACTTTCTGACCCAGAAACAGAAGAGTTTGTGAATGAAGTGAAGGATAAAATGGACATATCGGTAGTTTACTGCAGCAGGAGGATCACAAACTGAAGAAAAATCAGAGAATGACACCACGTTGCCAAAACATACGCCATTCATCATTACGCACGAGTATATCTGCAATGTTTACATGTAAACGGGACCCACACTGACTTCTTCATATTGTCAGAGTGCTCACGTCAGTCAGCAGTCTGCTTCACTCTATCATATTAGTAATCAAAGGTTTGATCAACGAACAAAAACGTTTGATTGTTGGCCCCTTTTTTTCGTGGGAAACTCTGTCTGCTCTGTGACTAATTATGAGGATATATAGGCCTAATCGTTTCAGAGATGCCCCGACTTAATGTCCACACTTGAATTATTTACAGAATAAATACGTGCAACTTATGAAGACATGCTGAGAAGGGGAGAAGGGGGTAATGTGAGACATTGGGTAATGTGAGACCCCCCCTGTATCTAGGCAACGGAACACATTTGTGGTCATGTGACCATTATGTTTTCAAGCCCCTCCCATTTCCCCTTGGCCATGAAGGAAAGGACCTCATGGTGCTGTGGTAAGCATGTTTTTTTCACAAAAATATTTTTTTGCATGTAAAAGTAAATTTTCTTGCTGTCAGCTTAATTAACTGTTGTGCCAAAGCAAATTGATTCAGGTAGACAAACTTATATCATACATGTTGATGAACTACCAACATATAAAACCATGTGATGATGCTAGCTGAAGATTAGCCTGAATTGCTAAGAGAGGTCGTTTTTTCTAAAATTGTGGCGGTGGGGTAAAGTGAGACAAATGCACCATGAGGCACAAGTTACATTTAGGCTTATTTAACATATTTTAATGTAATATTATATTACATATGTTTTATTTTTAATGTCATAAACATAGTAGAAAAGCCATCATGCCAAGGCAATACACCAGGAAGACAACCTGGGGCAAAACACCCCTCGAGGAGATGGAGAGTGCAGCCGCTGAGGTCAAGGAAGGAAAGAAGGGATAGAAATATTGACAAGTCAAGCCTCCTGAGTTTCATAAAGAAAAAAGAGAAAGGGGAAGTAAAATCAGTAGCCTGGGGTGCTGAAGCTGAGGCAAAGAGAATATTCACAGATGAGATGGAGGAGGAGCTTGCCAAACACTTGAAACAACTAGCTGAACAGTTGCATGGCCTTCCTCCAGTTAAGAGCCGTCAACTGGCATTTGAATACGCAGAGAAAAACAATATCCCTGTCCCTGCCAATTGGACAAAGACATAATGTGCAGATAGGCTAGGGTGTGCAAGAGATCACATGAGTCTGTAGGTTAATTAAGGCCAACTGATCTTGCCACCAAGCTAAATCTTATAATAATGAGTTGTCTACTCTAGGTGAAGATTGGTTTGGCAACTTCCTAGCATGTCGCCATCTCTCTGTCTGAACTCCAGAGGCAACATCCCTGGGAAGGGCTACAGCCTTCAATAAAACTACAGTCGGGGAGTTCTTTGACAATCTGGCTGTAGTGATGGACAGGTGACAGAATAAATTATTTAGTTGCAAATGTTTTATGGAGGCTTTACCTGTAAGATTTGGTTTTGATTCTTTGAAGGTTCTTTCCTTGCCTATCATCTTTAACAGGCATACATTCCCTCCACACATGATTTACAATGTGGATGAAACAGGCGTCTTTACAGTACAAAAGCCACAGCAGGTCAGCTACACATGATACACTAGAGACCACCAGACTGATACTGAGTGGCTTGTGATAATGACCAGCTAGCTATTGACAGAATGCTGAAACTAATGCTATTAGTAATGTTGTGAATCTGTGAACTGGAAAAAATGAATGAAGTGAAAATAAATACAATGTACTTTTAGACCAGTAGTAGCCTACTGATTGCACATGCCATTGATTCTAAACTTTCTATTTGATTCAGGTTTTGACAGAGAAAGGAAAAAAGCAAGTTGGTTCTGTCACATCGGTTGAGAGAGGAGAACTGGTGACTGTGGTGTGTGCAGTGAATGCTGCTGGGAATGCCACACCTCCCATGTTTACCTTCCCCAGAGTTAAGTTTAAGGACTGCTTCATGACAGGAGCACCTCCAGGAGCCAAAGGTACCTCCACCAGAACGGGATGGATGAATGAAGACACCTGGGCTGAGTTCCTTTATCACCTGATACAGCACAGTAACTGCACCCCTAACCGTCCCACGCTGCCAATCCTGGATAATCTTAAGGCTCACATCTCACTCAAGGCCGGAGAAATAGCAACGGTATTGTTCTGCTCACCCTCCCACCCCACACATCCCATCGCATGCAGCCTCTCGACGTGACCGTGTATGGCCCGTTCAAAACCCAATACAGCCGAGCTCTTGATGGGTGGATGAGATGTAACCCTGGCAAAACAGTCTCCATCTACCAGATTGCAGGAATGAGGCCTTCATGTCAGCAGTGACACCACGCAACATCACTTCTGGATTTAGGTCCACTGGGGTTTTCCCATATAACCGAGAAATTTTCCCTGATGAAGCGTTTGCACCATCCATGGTGTCAGACCGGCCAAACCCTGAGCTGCTGCCTGCCACTGCAGATGATCCACCTGCAGATGATCCGGATGGTTCACCCCCTGCAGATGATCCGGATGGTTCACCCCCTGCAGATGATTTGGATGGTCCACCCCCTGCAGATGATCCACCTGCAGATGAACCACCCGCTGTAGATAATTTACTGGCTGATGCTAATCCATCCACTGTGCATGATCCACATGGATGTGCCTCGCAAGCTGACTCAGATGTGCCACGTGTTCCCAGCCAACCTGGATATGTGTCTCCTCGTGAAATCCTACCACTTCCCAAATGTCCCCCAAGAACACAAACCAAACGAAAGCGTGTGAAGACAGCCATCCTAATTGATACTCATGAGAAGCAGGCAATTGAAAAGGCTTATAAAGAAAGACAAAAGAAACTGAAAGGGAAAAGGCAAAATAGCAAAGAAAAGAGAAAACCGAAAAAGAAAGCAACCAAAAAGAAAATCGTAGTTAACAGCTCTGAGGAGAGTGATGTCCCTGTCCCACTCGATTATGTGTCTGACAGAGAGCTCTGAGGATGAGAGAAGTGATCCAGGAAACACAGATCTGTCCGTGGGTGACTTTGTCATAGTTAACTTTGCAACCAAACACAGGAGCATCCGTTACATTGGCATGGTTGAGAAAGTTGAGGATGACGAAATACTTTCACAATTTCTCAGAGGAATCCAGGGAAACACGAAAGAGTGGGAGAGACCCACGTTTGCTATAATGGAAAATGATTTGGCACATGTTCCTAAAAGTGATGTGGTGAAGAAGCTGCCTCAACCTGAAAGGCCTGGAGGAACCACACAGAGAGAGCAACTCCTCATCTTTCCCTGTAACCTTCAGGCCTGGAATGTAGAGTAGGCATAGTTTTAAAGTATGACAGTAGGCTGATGTTCTAATCCAGGTGGGTCTAGTCCTGTGTTCTGAGTCCCAGACTGTTCTAGCTGGTTCTGATTGTCCTTTGCTCTGACCCCCAGACTGTGTTCTAATCTAACTGGTTCTATCTGTCATTTGAATGTTAATTAAAACATTTTGAATTATATTATGTTGTATTTGATTTTGTTCAGAGTTACTTTCAAGTGTTTAGAAAAAAAATGTGCTTAATTGACCAAACCCCATGATTCTGTTACTAATCCGACATGAATGTGTGGTTGTCAAGCTAGCTGTCAGGATTCTAACTGTTACGACATGTGTTGTTATGGTTGTTTCAGAGTTGAAAAAATAAGTGGATCAGTTTACCTTTACCCGTTTGATTTTTCTTGTCTGTCTCAGTTTACCCCTAAACTAGGGTAAAGTGAGACACAAGACCACTTTTTAAAAAACAATCATATTTTCACTGTTCTTCGTCCTGAATACATTCTGATAATTTCCATTGCTAGGAAACATCCTGAATTAATGGGAAATGTGTAAATTTTACTGATATATCATTTTAGCTCGCTTAGAGGGGAGCAAATGTAAAAAAAATCTCACTTTACCCCACTCTCCCGTAACGAGAAGGCGAAATGTGTGAAGCCACAGATTACAAGATAGAAGGATTTCTGTGAACTATCCCCACTTCCGAAGACAAAACAAATCTTTCAGATATCTTTGGCTCTGTGAGAGTCTCTGGTATGTGAAAAACAGAAGTAAGTAACTGATTCAAGATACACAAGTGCTTTGAAAAACAGTTAGTTATGGGAGTTGGTGTCAAAACGGTGGAATGGAATTTAACCAGGACTAATTCGGAAAACATTGTCTTTTCTTTGATGTTGTTGGGAGACCGAAATGCCTTTGATGAAGGGTTTGCCTTTGCTTTACTTTTTCTTAGGTCAAAGACAGTGATGAAGAGCCACAGCTGACGGTCCACATCGGGGAGCCACACACAGAGGCCCTGGACGAGAGTGTCAAAAACAGGGTTGATTTGGTTTACTCCCTTAACGACAGGCCACCCTGGTACCTCTGTATTCTGCTCGGTTTCCAGGTAAATTAATCCCATGCCTTGAAACATTTACATGCTTTAACACCTTATTGACACAGATTGCCTTAGAAGTGTGTTGCTGCCGCAGCGCCAAAAATCAAGAGAAGGGAAGGCTTGCTTCATTTTTTTTTTTTTTTTTCAAAGATTAATTTGTCTGCATCTCTGTTGCTATGGTAACTCATCTTAGATACCATCTGCAGCGCATTAATTTGGAACACTGAACAGGCTGTTTAACTGGAATTACTTGCCTAGGTGTCCATATAAGAAAGGTTAATACACGCCCACGTGACACCCTTCAGCCAGTCAGAATCGAGTATTCATGCAGACCATGCCATAACTTGAAATATGGAATTAAGTATATATTTTTTTTAACTCAAAGTTGAATCATTTTCTTAATTTTTTTCAAAATCAATATGAACTAAATTTTTGCTGTAGCCCTGGTGAACATCAAGATATTCGATCAACAGCAGCTGTTTTTATTGTTGATCAAACTATTCATGAATGAAAAAGTCCCCTATGATGGTTGTAAGGGAGATGAATGGAGAAAACAAGCCAAAAACCAGGAAACCAGAGCTTGAGTTTTGTAGTAGAATAAATACCATAGTGAAATTATTTTAACTGCCATTAGTAATTCTAAGAAAGTAACCTGACAAAACGTATTTTTCGAAGTAATTTCCTTGATGAATTAGATTTTGTCCTAATCTCTTCTCGATACCACACCAGGAGTTTCGGATGCTGAAACTGTTTTTCACAAGCTCTAGGAAGCTGAACTTATTGGTTAGGCTTACCAAAAGAAATCAATGTCATGCTCAAATAATACAAAGTGTTGACTTTCGTATTTAACACTGGGAACGAGGGTCTCCTCGGCTTAATTTGTAGCTTATTACAGAATGGCCTGAAAGCTGCCTGGCACATAACTCATGCTTCCACCACGTGGTGTGCTGACTTGCTCAAAAGGATTTCCTGTAGAGGCACAAAATAAAATTCCAATTAAATATAAAATAAAGTGTGACATTTGTGCTGAGACCAGAGGGAGGAAAAAAAATATGCGTCCATGTTTTGGATTCACTTTCATTTATGTGACTATTTCAACCTGACTGACTCTCAAACTTCGATGAGATTGCTTTGATGTCTCTTGTAGAAGTCCTCTAAGGATCCTCTGTAAACTAAATAGTGAAGTACAAATCAAGACTTACTTCAAAAGCTGCATTGCATTGTTGAATTAGAACAGAGATGCCAAAACAAATACAGAGACCCTGATCCCCCCCGACTTTGATAAATTGCCGTGGATAATCTTCAACAACATCACTCCAATGAGGTCATGCTTCTGCATAGCTGATGAATGAACTCACTTTATCTGCTTTGATCGCCTATAATTCCTAAGAAAATATCTTGTTCTCAATGTTAGCAAGATGTTTCAGCTAGCTAGATGCAAGCTTTGCCCACTGTTTTGTCCTCAACAAGTATTTTACTTTGAATTTGACAAAGTCGATTTTTACAACACTCTGCCAAATGCTGATCGAATGATGCTGATGAGAATAATGAGGCTCATTACACTAGGAGTAGTCAGGACTTAAGCCGTCCATACACTGTCATATCTAGCAGATTTTGACCAGATTTTTTTAATCGTCACAATGGTATTGAAGTCAGGCCAAATTTCATCTGAATCTTGCGTCGTTTGTTATTCCGATAACAGGGGGGCAACACTGTAGATGATGGCCCAAACTGCTGCTTCCAACCAGTCGGTTGATTGCATACACTTGCACAGTGAGAGCAGAGCAAAGAGCAGATTCCTCAATTGAAGGGCTTTTTTTTCCCAACAGCATCTGAATGCATCAGGGCACCAGCTATTTGATGCCCTTCTATCAAGAGAGAAGGGAAGAGAAACACCAAGAAATAGCTGTGGTTGTCCTGCTGCCAGGGAATACTTACAGGGAATGTTTCAGCTGCTAGGTAGCTTGTGTTTATTGGTAATGTAGTGTATGTGTGTGTGTGTGTGTGTGAGAGAGAGAGTGTTTCTGACAGTGTGTGTATTTGAGCGCCGCTTATGAGACACCTGAATACCAGATCTGACGTCAACCTTCATCTTTGGTTATTGTGTGGTTTCAGAGCCCCCTCGGAGGCAGAATTTACATACTATGCATTTAAAATGATTGTGTTGATATAAAATTCATGCCAACTTGGTAATGTTAATCGTACCCAACAAATTAAAACAAGTCTTTCTGCAAAACCTTTGAACAAAGAAAAAATATTAAATTGTACTATAAAGACTTTCACATTGAGTAAAACATGTGGTTTCCACCTTATAGCGAAAGCATTCATAAAGGGAACATAGGCTGGGTCCAAGCACAGGGAGGACTTATATCAAAGATAAGTCCATTAAAGTAATTGTATCATCATTTCAGTATAAGAACAGCAAGAGCCGCCTGTTTTGTATCAACATTAAATCTGTCACTTTCTTTGAAACCTAAACCACTGCGACTTGAAGTTTACATTTTTGTCCTCCGAGTGAACTCGTTCAGCATCATTTATACAACATGTGGGTAGTAGTAGTCCAGGTATGAATTACTGTATTATTTCCTGATTAGTTATAAATTACCCCTTATTTTAGTGGCTTTTTGGTAACTGGACCAACGGATGTAATCTCCTCAGGAATGTTGGGACATTTAAATGCCATGAACCCAAATTGAGCGATCAGTTTGTCAGCATGCTCATTTCTTAAACTTGAGACATGAAGGTAAAAAGGAGAAGGAGAAGGTTAATTTTCCACCCAAGGGAATTGCACTGTTTTTCCTCCCAAAACCTTTCAGTTTTTTTGTACACGTTGATGTCACATCATCGTTTTTACGTGAGCACAAACAACCTGTTTCCCAGAAAACCCAAACTCGACTTCACAACTTGACTATTTGCCATCCATCCTCAAGAGATTGTGTTGTTTTCAGTGGTGTTATTGTTTGTTTTATGCTGTTCAGGAAAAGTGTAGGCTCTCTCTGAGCCAAACAGAGAGACTAATGCACACTTTTATCACTAGCAGGCTGGACTATTGTAACGCTCTCCTTTCTGGTCTTCCTAAAAACACAACCAATCGGCTACAGCTACTACAAAACTCTGCCACATGAGTACTGACAAAGACCAGAAGGAGAGCACACTTCACACCTGTTTTAGAATCTTTACACTGGCTGCCTGTTAGTTTTTGTGTTGATTTTAAAATGATTTTATTAGTTTATAAAGCACTACATGGCCTTGCACCAGACTACCTATCAGAGATGTTAGTTTACGAAACAGGAAAGCCACTCAGATCCTCCAATTCCTGTCTTTCAGTTGTTCCATAGAGCAGGATTAAAAATATTTGGCGATGCTGCTTTCAGCTGTTATGCTCCAAGACTATGGAACAACCTTCCTGAGGGTCTTAGAGGAGCAGAGAATATTTAAATGCAGTCTTAAAACTCATTTATTCAGTCTGGCTTTTATATAATGCTTCATATAAATTCACATCTTAACATTATTGTGTTGTCTTTTTTATCCTGCTACTATTTTAAATATTCTTCTCCTATGTATTAATTTTAATATCTTATTGCTTTAATGTGTCGTATTTAATTTTTTCACTTTTATATATATTTTTAATTCTTATTGGTGTGCATTAGTCTCTCAATGATTTTATAAACTACTTTTTCATCAATAACTTTTCTGCACTCTTGTAAAGCACTTTGAACTGCAATTTAAATAGTCTGAAAGGTGCTATATACTGTAAATAAAGTTTGATTGATTGACGACCAAGACCACTATCATTTTTCAACAGGCAAAATTAACATCCTTGACATGTCACAAAACAGAGTTTTGCTCTAATATTTTGATGATTTGTTCATTTGAGCATTAAAGGGGGACTCAAATGATTGTAGCAGCGTTATTCCAAAATTGTTTTGCAGCAGTACGTTATACCGTATATAGCCTAAGCAAAGACATCATTTCAGCACATTTTATTTTTGTACAATAAAATGTACAAATTTTTGGAATATTCACGTACTGATTGACACATGACGAGTGAAGTTGGTGGCTAACATTTTGGTTGACCATAATGCATTTTAGATTCACTCTGTGAAATCGATTCAGATCTTCTCGTGCCTGCGCACGCTTTATTTTCATACTTAATTTTTCCATTTATGACTGTGGTGCACTGCTGACAGCTGCAATGTTCTGTATATGATATGCGACATGAAACTGTAGTTAAAGTCTGGTCAAAGCTAAAAGCTTAATTTTCTTCAACCAAACAGTAAAAAGACTTTAATGTTCAATGGAGAAAGGTTTCAATGGGAACATGATCATTCCATTTCTTGAAGTGCTGGGACTACCCTGCCATGATGGGTCTTAATTTGAAATGTTAAGACATGCAATCCCATTGACATCCATTAGCCACATTAGCAGATGTTAGGTTTAAAAAAAAAAGTTGCCACACCAATACATTAAACATTAGTTGGAGTTCCATGTCTTACTTATATACTTACAGAGGAGAAGAGCACCCTTTGCTCCTCTGCTCTGTGTGCCTTTGAATTATAGGTATTGATTTGTGTTTGACACTTCAAAGACTTTAAAGAGAGTATCAACAGAGTACATCAATTGAAGAGTCGACAAGCCGTAAACTCTCCCAGAGGGTTGATTGTAAGAAAAATAATAGACCATATGTGTTCATGTCATCTGGTCACCATGAACACATTTTTTGACAAACATTGCAGGCAATATATTGTTGGGCTTAACATCACACGTTAAGCCCAAGGCAGGCAGTACACCTAAATGTTCAGCGTTGTAAGACAAGACACAGGAGTTATCTGATCCTCCTGACATTTCATTTAATGTATATCATGATTCTTCAAGAAGATTTAATAGTTTTTTCCCCTCATCTGACCTCTATTTAATCCACACCATCTCACACCCACACTAATTGTAAAACTCACCCTCGTATCGAGCATCAGGTCAGTCTGTTCTCGTTCAACTTTTACAACACACCAACAGGAGATATCTTCTTAGCTGTTGGTACGTTGAATCGGCTGGACTGACCTCCTAATAACACAGATTCAACAACTGGTCTAACAACACAATTGAATTTGGAAAAAATACATTTTCAATATAGGAAATTGACTTTTCATTTTTTTGGGAAAATGTATACTTATTTTTCTAAGGTTTTCTATTATGGGTCAGAGATGTACTACGACACTAAGTCAACATTTTTTCTCTTTGGGTTGTTGATGATAACAGTGTTTATCTCGTCAACAAAATAAATGACGAAAATATTCGTTGACGAAGGTCTTTTTAAATTAGTCAACTATGACGAGACGAAATTCCGCTATTTGATGATCTGATAAATAATATTACTTCATCATCTAATTGACGAAAATGTGACGAAACGAAAACTAAATTACAAGTGATGATTATCACTTGATAAAGAAGCGTTAAACCCCCTCAGCTGTTCTAAAATCATTGTTAACCATAGCAGATTTCATCAGAGGTGTGCGTGTGTGGTGAGTGCAACAATGCGCCTCTCGCCTGCAGGTCTGTGAAGCCCCGCCGCCTGGAGCTTTTGCTGCATTTATGTGGTGTCGGAAACATCGGGAAAAAGAGATTCTAAGTTGTAAAATGCACATGAACGCCTGCTCAAGTCGGACCAACAACTCGGAAAACTCAAGAAATATTCAAGTGCCCGACTTCCCGACTTGATGTCAGAATCGTCGCCACATGGGGGGCAAAATATTTTTTGTTAATGTTAACATACTGTTTATTAGCCTAATTCACGTATTGCACATTAACTTTATTATCAAATATAACTTTTAACAGTCACATTTCACTGATCTTCTTTGTAGCATCAACGCTTGTTTGTACTTTCCAAACTTAAATCATGTGTACACGCTGAAGTCGGAAGAATGACTTCCCAACTCGGAAACTTGCTGAATGCAGCATAAGTGAGCTTCTGATAATCAAAATAAAAGCTTGCGTCTGATTTTGTTGACTAAAATATCTTCTATTTCCGTCAACTAAAATGATGTGCAATTTTAGTCAGTGACTAATTGACTAAATTAAATCAATAACAAATGATTAATATCTGACTAAATATAAAGGACATTTTCATCAGGGGACTATGACTATGACTAAATTAGAAAATTGTGTGAAGTTTAACACTGGATGATAATTATTTTAAGTAAAGCAAGCTTTATTCTTCATGTCTTACTAACATAGTTTTCAAAATTAAACAGATTTTTGTGACTCTCTTTTACTTCACAGAAGTTAAAAAAGGAAAATATAAAATATATATCAAGTGGAAAAAGTTTTGTACCACAACTTGCATCAGTCATTGCCTTAAACATGAAAACTACAGTAGTCCCATTTCGAGCATACCTCCTTTATTTACTGTATGGGTAAATCAGCCTCTTGTGGCTGACATGAGTATTACAGAAACAAATACCAGATAAAGGGGGCAAAAAAAACTTTGATTATTTTAGTAAACTTTCCATCTTCTTATAACCAAACAATAAAGAACCAGAGAAACTATCTAAGACATCATCTTACCTGTGTTAACTTCTTACAAATAAGCTTAAAAAATCAGCTTTTGTCAGATAATAATCAGAAGTAATGAACACAACAAAAAAATAGACTTAGAAAATGGATATCCAGATAATATTTGGTCGCTCTTCTGTAGCCAAGCCAATATATATATTTTTACCCACAATAACTGTACCAGATACTTAACATGAGAGTTAATACATCTGACAGAAGCATTGGTCCTTTGGTACCAGACCAAGAAGCCATTACTGGACCAATTAGCCATCCGTGCGGTGTGTGTGTGTGTGTGTGTGTGTGTGTGTGTGTGTGTTAGTTTCTGTCAAGTTTCCCCATTCAAATTGTAAACACATTGAGCTTAGTGTAGCAGTGGAGGAACTAAGGTGAATAAATCTTCACAACATGAGGCATCAGGAATCCTTCCTCTGTCATGACATGGACCTTGTGCATCTTTAACTGACCTATGGGAGTTACAGGTCCAAAAATACCTCCATAAATCTTATGAGGCCTATCAACATCTGTCCTCAATCTTTTTTCATGGGAATCCCACCAACACCCCCTTCCCCCTGACTCCATCAACACACACATGCAGACCCAGGAAAGAGTGTCCAGGAGAGTTAAATTGTTACTTAATGCTGCAGAGGTTTAATCTTCTGCATCTATTTTTCTTTTAAAAACATATTTAAAAACTAGAAATGAGTGTATCCATGTATGTGCCCCCTGTAGTCCTGATCTTGTAGTAGGTCAGGGACCATATGTGACCACATTAACCTTGTTTTAGCCATCTATCACTGGCTCTCAGAATGTTTTAGAATTGATTTCAGGATATTACGGCTAACCTTTAAGGCTATTCATGGCCTCTGTGCATGCTACATATTTGACGCCTTGGTCCCAATCAAGCCACTGTGCAGCCTAAGATCCCCTGGCAGAGGTCTTTTATGTTTATATGTTTAAAACAATGGGGGACAGAGCATTCCAAGCCCCAAAGCTCTGGGAGGAGCTGCCGGAGGAAATCAGGTAAGCTTGCTCAATGACTACTTTTGAATCTCTTCTTAAATCATACTTATATCAGAGAGCTTTTTTTCCTCTTGATTTGACCTGTTTAAGTTGTCTTTGTTGGCTTGCACTGCTTTTTGTGCTTTGTTTTAGTCTTGTTTAGCACTTGATAATGTGGGTTAAGAAAAGTGCTCTATAATAGGGGCTCAGTGGTAGAGTTGACCTTCTCTTAACCGAAAGTTTGGGGGTTCGATCCCCAGCTCCTGCAGGCACATGTCCGATGTGTCCTTGGGAAAGACACTTAACCCCAAGTTGAACTGTTCTGTACAGATTATATTTAAATTAACCATAAAATAAATTAAAAAAATTAGACAAGACAGCTAACGAGGGTGAGAAAGTATTGAGAGGACAGTAGGGAATGACATGAAGCCAAGAACAAAAGGGTCAGGAATGACCCTGGGGAAAGAAAAAAAAAAGTAAAAAAAGAAAATGAAAAAATCTTCCTGATGATTTGGGGGCTTACTTTGTTGGGCCTGACCATTGATTCAATATTGATATGGACAACGTGTATTTTTCTCCTTTAGTGAAGCCTAAATTCCAACGCCATTGTGCTGAAATATTGCACTGATGATGTAATTTGGAACTTGGACATGAGCAGAAGGGATCTGGCTGCTGAAATTGCAGAATCGGCGCCACACCCATTCTGCTAACTAAAGCACACATTTAACTTCTCTACATTACTGAAACTGACAGAGACCTCTCAGGTCTGTGCATCTGTCTAGTTGATTCTACTGACTGGGTTGTTCATTTTTTACGTTGTGTTTTCTCTTGCATTTCCTACTCGATTCTCTCAATCTGGTTGACAACACTGCAAGGAGCCGAGTTTTAACAAAACAAAAAACAAAACTAGAAATGTTTAAACTGGACAGTATTATTCCCCTTTATTATTATTATTATTTAATATTTTACATGATGCGTCACAGATTTTTCATTTTGAGCTTGGTATTCATTCAAAACCTCTAAAAATTGTGATAGAGTTTTTACCACAAAAAAACCCAAAAACACTCAAATTCAGTCGCTGATGGAAAAGAATGATGTTGTTTTGACAGCAAACTTTGGTTCCTGAGGGAGAGATAATCCATGGCGTGATGGAAAACAAAAAGATTTACTGCAGCATCCCTCTTATTCTTAACACCAACAGTGTTACCTAGAGTGTTAATCATGCTAAGCATCAAAATATCTAACGCAGGTGTGCAGTTTACACACAGGAGTACTGTGACAGTTCTGGTGTTATTTTACACCTTTCATAGCACCTGCTTATGCATCGTCTGTGTTTCAGTATTTTCCAACTATTGTTCATCATGTATACAGTATTTTGTTGATGTAAAAAAACTGGATGACTTTCTACTATTTCAGTAAACGTGCTCATTATGTACTTTATACTTAGGATGCTTGGTCTTTAATAGCAACATTATTAGTTTGATTCCAGGGTTTGACCTTTGTTGGTCAACCTCCCATAATTCCTTTTTGTCTTCTTGTCATTGTCAGTCACAGCATTGAGACCTCACAATCAATCATTGAATAAAGTTCCTCCAGTGGTCATTTGCTGCTGTTCACATTGTTTTTGTTTGAAAATGTAAAACCTCTGTTAGAACTCTTTTGTCTTATTCAGCATTTCACAAAAGCTTGAACTATTCCTGATCTTTTGAAGCCTTACAGTATCTGACATAAGTACACAGTATATCAGCAGCTATGAAGGGGTCTCTATCATTCTTGTATTGTGGGATGTAAGAGCACAGTATTGCATGCTGGTAAAATAATTGCAACTGCTTTAAGAAACATATTTTTTTTTTTATATGTATACGTGTTCAAAATAAGAGGATCAAGATATATTCAGGGTAAAGGAAACGTGTCGTGATTTGGTCTTTTTTAGTTTTGTTTTTCAGTGTTTAGTGTTTCTTCATGTTCTAGTGTGTTTTGTTCATTCTTGAGTTCTGTGTGTTTTTAGTGTTTCATGATTTAGTTTGTAGTTGTCCTCAGTGTTTCTTGTATTCCTGCTTCTGTGTGATTGCCCTGATTGTCCTCACCCGTGTCTTGTTAGTCTCAGTGTTTCTTCCCTTCTGTGTCAGTTCATTGTATGTTGTTTCTATGTCGGTTGTTGGTATGTCTGTTTTTGCTCGTGCTCCTCTGTGGCTCCCTGTTTTTGATCCGTGTGTTTTTTGTTGTACTTTCTGAAGTGAGTTTTTGTTTACCTTTTTGTTAAAATAAATAGTTAGTTAATTCTGCACTTGGTTCCACCTCTACTCGTTTTCTGACAATCGTAACAAAACGTTGTTACCTTTTTTTTTTTTTTAAATTGTCTGAAATCTCTCCTCCTTTGTCTCTCTCTCCACAGCATTACATCCTGGCCTTCGGTGGCATCATCGCTGTCCCCCTGATCCTGGCTGAGCCACTCTGCATTAAAGACAACAATAATGCCAAAAGTCAGCTCATCTCCACCATCTTCTTTGTGTCAGGATTATGCACGCTGCTGCAAACAACATTCGGTACCAGGTAATACCCACAGCGCCCGGGCAAACAGAACGCACCAGATCACACAGAGACACTAAAAATCTACTTAAAAATTTTTCCACACAGAAGTGAGATATCAATTCTTCTTCTGCTTGAGTGTAAAGGGTACTCTTAAACTTTGTGGAATGATACTCGTTGGTATGTCAATGTTTGTGTGGTGTTTTTTTTTAAAGCAAGCATTTTCAGATTTACAGCCGGATAATAAAAAATAGAAAAGACTCCTGTAATAAAACCAGTTCTGCAACTCATTGATTCCCGACCTTAGGTCGAGGGGGGCGGGCTTTATCTGTCCTCAGGTTGTCAAAAGATTTGCACATATGATCTGAAATCATTCTAACACACTCACTGGATTATTATTAACAGGTCTATAGGTAAGAATTGTGTGGCTGGTGCTTTTCCATTTTAATGTTCAAAGGGAAAATGTCCAGCTCAAACAGAGACATTTATCAATGGTAAAGATTCTATTAAAAACAATTCATGTTAAAACATTTTACAGCACTTCATTGGGTCAATATGTATTGTTCCAACCCATCTTGATGTTAGGATTAAGGTCCACGGGGATGGAAAAATACAAAATCCAAGATACTTCTCAGAGTATTGAAACCAAAGTAATGAGCCTTTCTGGGCAGTCTGCCCTCTCTCCTCGCTGAATTGGGACACCTGGTTGAACTTACCTAGAGTATGCTTGTCTTGAAGATTTAGACATACAAGTTAAAGCACACACGGCCGTCTCAGTGAAAAGATGAATGTTTCCCTAAATCATGCAAAACATGCAGACACCCCTTTGGTGGTTCATAGGCAGTTAAACCAGTCCACTGCTATGCTCCATGGGACACTTGCAGTGGATCTGAGAGATGCCTTTCAGCATAAGAAACTGAAATCATCTTCCTCAAAGACTTACAAGCTCAAGTTTACGTTGCATATTGTCGTTCCTCCCTTTTTTATATTAGAGCTGTGAAGCACTGGTAGCTGTTTCGAGCTTTGCTAGGAAACCTTCTGAAAGTGATGGATCAATCTCTCTGCTTCACCTCAGTGTAGCTGACACCCACTCGCACAGTAACGTGCAAAACAGCACAGGGCTCCACACATACTTTCTTCCCCCTCAGCACTGCGGTAACATTAAGCCAGAGCAAACAGCTAATGCTTTTGTTTCAGTTCTCCACCTACACAGTTTGGCAACAGTTTAAACGGAAAAGAAATGTGATCCCAGAAAACTCTCTGACATTGAAAAATAAGGAAGTTAATCTCTATTTTTACAGCACTCTTCATCACTGCAGGTTGTTTTCAACACTGGCTTTGTGAAAATAAAGAATAGAGGGATCAAAACGCAAACATGCAGACAAAGGTGCATGAAGATCAGTTTGCTGCAACACTTCTGAGGCTGAGAAAAAATACATTCATGCACAGTTCACATTGCTGAGCAAATGAAAAATCCAATCGATTTCTCTTTTAAAGCAACAATATGTAGGAATTTGGTTTGGTGCGCTTTGGCGCCCACCAAAGGTCTCTGATTGCAACCTCACTGTTGTAAAACACAAGTAGTGACACTGCTAGCTTCTGCAGCTCATGGTTGGCAAACTGTTTGAGTGTGGTGTTTTACAGTTACATCATGTCTATAGTCTGTGGTTAAACGGCTACTTTGGAGAGAGTCATTTTTGATTGTAGTTGAGATTGGTTTGTAACGTTCCAAACTTAAGCTAACATAAAGATCCATAAGGAGAGACACACCTTTTCAGAGTAAGATAGATTTCTTATTTATTTGTATGCACGCCTGAGACATACCCTTTGGCCTTGGGTCAGATGATTTTCTTCACCTGGTAAATCTGCTAAACATGAGACCATGATGACATTAATAATGAAACCTAGCGTTACATCGCAATCTCTTGTGAATAGTCTCAGCAGGATTGTAAACACTGAGTTGTTGGCTCGTTGCTTTCTAATTATCAGACAGAACAGAATACCTACTTTCTGATCAGTATTGTAATCAGTCTGATATTAACTCTAGTTGGGCTTCTGCCTCTAACTCTGTTTTTCTTCTTAGCTTTTCTGTTACCATCCTCCTCTGTCTCATAGCCTTAGCTTTTGTATCAAACAGTACAGAGACAGACAAACTAGATGCTTTGTAAATGAAGGCTGCTGTGTGAATCAGTGCCATAAATCTGTACACATTTTTCTTAGGTTATCGCAGCCTGTTGCCAAGGTTACATGGTGCAGTATACAGGTGACTTTGGTGCGCTGTGGACATGGGAGTGCCACCATTCATCCTGTAGAAAGTCATTGTGCTATTAGATCGTTCTTTAAAATACTGACAGTATGGGTTTAAAATCTTGAACCATTTATCATTTAATTCAGTATTTATGGAAGTTTGTAAATTTGGTTATAGTTCTAAAAAAAAAAAAGATAAATAGCAAACTTAAAAGCGGCCTGAAACCAGACAGTCATGTGCTTTACAGCAGGAAATTGTCATTGTCAGACAGGGGCTGTTTCCGAATAGCCACAGTTCAGTAGGTAGTACGTACTTTACAGTAGGGAGATTCAGTATACTGAACCCTCGTGGTCATTCAAGTATGCATTTTTTGGGTCCACCTCAGTATACTGAACATTTCAGTATGGATGCTAACTTCCGGGTTTCATGCAGTATGGATTGGATGCGTGCTTTCAGGAAATGAATTGTATTTTACCACCCACAATGCTGTGCGAAATTAAACATAAACCATCACTTCATGTCTGCCTCCAAATCAAAACAAACGAGCGTGGATTAATTGAATCAATTTTCCAATCTAGAGTTAAAGCCCCTACTGAAACCGCTACTTTTAATTAACAGAAAATATAACAAATGAATACAGTATTATAAAACCTTTTCCCTCTATTTAAAATATGATTTCACTATTTAAATGCATCTTTATTTATTTTACTTTATATTCTGTTTGTACTTTCCTTTATGTAGCCTACTGTATGTTATTTAATCTGCCTTTTACTTGATTTACATTGTGATATTGTTTCTTGTTTACCTGACTGTATATGCGCATTACTCTTCTTGAATAAAGCTAAACAAAACAAAAAAACGGGTGAATGCGGCCGGTTCGGGTAACGTAAATGACGGCACTTCGATGCAGAATTAATTAGACGAAGTAGGAACAAATATCTGCCTACTGAATAGTAGGTACTAAACAGTATACAGCACGGGGACAGTAGGTACTGACTTCTAACAGATTGAGTAGGTACTTGGCAATTTGGATACAGCCATGCTATCTTTCTCTCTTGAGATGTTCCATTGTTTAGGTGAAGGGGGGTGCCTGGGAAGAACATGAGGAAGGGTCTACCATAATGTTGATTGTTGTGTAAGGACTATCCCACTTAACAAACAAAATAGTGATATTGTGGTAATTTCTGGAACACAAGTGATAAACAACTAGAGGCAAGACAACAAGAGGCATATCAATCAGTATGTAAACCACCCATTGGGAAATCTGATCACAATGTAATCCATCTTCTGCCAAAGTATAAGGCTGTGGTGAGGCAGAAACCTGCCACCAAGCAAATACAGGTGGTCTGATGGATTTAAAGAGCAACTCAGGGACTGCTTTGATTTTTATTGCAGCTTCAACACTGTGGATGACAAATCAGAATGTTAAGAGTTATGTAATAACCTTCGTTCTGAGACCTCAATAGTTATAAATTAACATGATGTCACAGCAAATCTTTTAAAATTGAAAGCTCGTCTGCTTAAAGACTGTGCTCCTCAACTGAAAGGTGTCTTTACAAGGCTATTTCAATTCATTCTAGATTCACAAATTGTGCCAAAAGCATGGAAGTCCTCAATAATTAGACCTGTGCGAGAGTACCAAATGATTTTTGGCCTATTTCTTTACCTTCTATACTGTGTAAAATTATGAAGCGGACTGTTGTTGGTCACCTGACAACCTCTGCGGCCACCATACTAGACCCACTCCAATTCGCGTATAGAAGCAAGAGAGGCACAGACGATGCTGTGCTGACTTTACTTAACACAGTAACAAAACATCTCATGAACCCTACAGGGTATGCCAGGGTCTTATTTGTGGACTTTAGTTCGGCCTTTAATTCGATGAAGACGCATATTCTCCTGAAAAGACTCATTGATCTAAATAGCAACACAGGTCTAGTTCTCTGGATCAGAGATTTTATATCCTGCCGTCCACAGAGGGTTTGTTTTGGGAGCAGCATGTCAGATGTGCTCACAGTGAGCACTGGCTGCCCCCAAGGCTATGTTCTCTCCCCTGTGTTATTTGCACTATTTACTAATGAATTTAAGATCAATGAGAAACACTATTTATTTAACTATGCAGATGATATGGGCCTTGTTGGACTGTTAGAGAAAAATTACGCTTCTGGTGAAGCTGCATATTCACTCCACATAAAGGCCCTGGAGACGTGGTGTCACGCCAGCCAGCTAGTAATGAATGTAGCCAAAAGAATGAATTATCTGCACTAAACAAGATCTAAAAATTGAGCCAGTTTCACTTGACAGCCAACTTGTTGAAATTGTGGAAACCTTGAAATACCTCGGTACAATTTTGGATAGCCAGCTGAACTTCTCTGAAAATACAGAGTATATCTTCAAAAAATGCTTACGACTTTATCTCCTTAGAAAACTCAGTAGTCTTGGTGTCAGTCAACACATCTTAGAGCTAGTGTACAAACCTATTGTTGAGTGTGTTTTAACTTTCCATCTCCCTGCCTGTTACGGTCACTTGAGCTGTAAATTAAAGAATAAACTCTCCAGGATTGTATCAACAGCAGGCAAAATAGTGGGCAAACCACAAATCCTCTATCTCAATTATTTATTGACAGGATGAGGAAGAAAGTGAGGAGTATCCTATCAGATAACGCCAGGTTGAACGATATTTGACCTTTTGGCATTCACACATGCAGTCCACCCAGACAATGTAAGGACATGTTCGGCAGTACAGTGCATGCCTGGCAGGGGCTTAGGGAATTACGTGTCATGTGAAGGACATGCAGTGTAAATTGAAATTATGTCAGGCGGTCAAGTGTGTTCAAATGAATAATTACTGGATTAATTACCATGTTAGGCCAATTAATAAAATCCCAATTAAAGGCAATGAAGTGAGGGGTAATGAATAGTTTGATAACAAAATGATCACCTACTTGACCTACAGGTTACCGGTCCTCCAGGGTGGGACCTTCAGTTTCATCACTCCGACCCTGGCTATTCTCGCTCTGCCCAAGTGGCAGTGTCCGGCCCCGAAAGCATCTGTGGTGCTGTCCATGCAGCTGCAGAACGGCAGCAGCCCGCTGCACATGGAGGACTCAGATGAGGTCTGGATGTCACGGATGCGTGAGGTATATGTCAAATATTCATGTGAGCCAAATTTGTGATACTCAGCATTTACGCTTCCTCACCTAGCATCCAAAGGCCAAGTGGTTAGAGCTAATAGATTAGTGGACACATTGAAGACCCTTACCATTTGTTACACCTTTATGTCCATATGATTTAATTTTATATGAATTAGATTTTGGGGGTGGGGGGGGTATTGGAATAATCTTGCAAATTCTGTTACATATTAATATTAAATGTTCTGAAGTGGACATTTGGGGGACTTTTTGAAAACACTTCTAACTTGGGAGAAACAATACCCCAATCACGTCTTTCTGTAAAAATACCATAATTTAGTTGAAAACACATTTTCTGGTCAGACAGGAACAACTTTGAACACAACTCCAAAAAGTGATAGAAAAGTAGGAATAAACCCTTTAAAATATAGGTTGTAATTTTTCGTAAGAATTACTGATGCAAGACACCGTTTTGTTAAATGCGCTCTTGTTTTGTGAATGTACAGAAAGTCGGGTAAAAGCTACAGAACAAAAGTCTGAGAATGTGGTCAATTGCAGCAATTTCAGGTAAAAGTTTGGAAAGTCGGTTCAAAATGCCAAACCCAGGACTGTTTTCTTAGCATGTTTAAGTCTTTCAACTAACATTTTTTGAGAAGAGAGATATTGTAATATTTCAGAGATCAAATGTCTTTAGTCCATCCTTTTGCAGTCGTGTTTATTTCTCCAGTTTTTTGTATTCCTCTCATAGATCTCCTGTGCACGTTCTCATAGGTTCAGTAGGTTTTATGTAAGCTCCCTGAGTGACTCTGACCCAATGCTGTATCTATTCAGCGTTTCAATTAATTTCAGTTCAGCTTATCAAGTATTAACCCTTCTGTCTCCTCCTTGTTATCAGAGCTTTGCGCAATATCGCTCTCTCCCCTCAGGCAACATTAACATCACTCACAGATGTGTATTTCAAAATAGTTATGTGTTACCACAGAGTTAATGAACATTATCACACATTATGTTACCACCCCTTCACATAGCTCACAGTTGGAGAGATTTATGAGGTGCTTCAGCTCTGCAGGTTTCGGTAGTAGGGTATGTTTTACCGCATACACGGTATAACAGTGGGTGCAGGTTGAACAGGTTTCTATCACATTTTTGCAAACAAGTCTAGTATCGAAGTCGTCTTCCGTATCCTGGCCGCCTACCTGGGGGATCCTGGCTATATCCATCGGTCCAATCAAATATTACTTATAATTACAATGATGCATTTTCATTTATTTATTTATTTATATATATATATATATATATACATACACACACACACACACACACACACACACACACACACACACACACACTTTATAACCAAATCTTGCACTGCGTGTATCCCAACTTCGAACCTCTTTCCTCGTCTTGCACAGATCCAGGGAGCCATCCTGGTGTCCTCTTTGCTCCAGATAGTCCTTGGCCTTTCTGGGCTGGTGGGCTTCGTGCTGCGATTCATCGGCCCGCTGGCTATTGCTCCCACCATCAACCTCATCGGCCTGTCGCTATTTATTGAAGCTGGAAAGAAATCTGGAGGTCACTGGGGCATTGCTGCTCTGTGAGTATATTGCCCAATAGACATCAATAAATTATTGCGCAAAAGACTTACAGTTTGTATGGATGCAGTATGTCTGGATGTTTCAGTGAACTGTGTGCAAACAATTAGACGTAAGAGGACACCAAAGTCTCTTGTATTTCCTCAAAACAGCTTTAGTTCTTCTTGGCAGAGATGTTTTTCCAAGACTCTGAAGCTGTACACCATTCCTCCAGAAGATTTTTTTCATTTAGCATTTATGGTGGTGGTACTGGTCTGATTCACATGATCAAACTAATTATGAACCCCTCATGGCCTGTATGGAAGTAGATGACGTCGCTAATTTATTTTTTCATCTTTTACACATGCTGTACTTTAGGTCTTTTCTGTACATTAGAGTAGTGAAAATGTGAATTTCTTCAGTGTTCATTCAGAATGTTTTTGCCTGTTTTCTGACCTTATTTGTACATCAATGCAGATGTGCCTACTTTTTAAAGCCAACTAATCACTGTACTACTACCTTTGCTGCATCACTGTCCAAATCCATGAAATCTGTCTTCATTTACCGCCGATGTCTCCAGATAATGCAGACTAAAATCATTACTTCGAGTGACCCTTGTGGGTTTTGAAAGGTTCAGCACATCCTGGTGCCTGGATGGTAATCAGTCATTTCCTTCTAAGCCCCAGTGACCCCCCCCCCCCCCCATCCCCCTACTCAGCAGTATCTGCAGAGGGTATCCAGCACCTTACAGGAGCACAGACAAAAACATCTTGTGGTTGTAACTCAACCCTCCCAGTCTGTTACACTGGCAATCTGTCAGGAGACACACTGCGATGGTAATGAAGAAGTCCATTTCCAAAACCTGATCAGTAGGAGTGTGTCGATACACTCAGCTCTTGAGAGGAGACAATGATCTAAATGGATTACAAGTCAGCTGTGATCTGTTTCTCCACTAGTTGCCACTCAAACAATTTAAAAGGGGCGGGAGCATCTTCTATGGTAAATGGACTTTAGCTTGTATAGCACTTTTCTAGTCTACTGACTACTCAAAGTACTTTTACACAACAGGTCACACCTAACCATTAACACCTATTCACACACACTGATCGTAGAGGCTGGTATGTGAAGTGTCCATCAGTTACTAATCCATTCATACACATTCATACGCCGCTGACATAGAAGTGGGAGAAACTTAGGGTCAAGGACACATTTGACATGTGGCTGCAGGAGCTGGGGTTCAAGCCCCCAACCTTCTGGTTGAGAGACGACCGACTCTACCAGCTGAGCCACAGCCACCCCTATGGTTATTTCCAATTCAACAGCAGACTCCGTCATGATGGCTGCTGCTCTCATCTATGTACTGATATCACAAGACAGTTAACACCTCAATGAGAATTACTCACATTACTCCTGAACCTTACTTGGAGTATTTCCTGCGCAGCAAGAGAAGCCATTTAAAAGCAAGAAAGCGACTATTTTACAATGTTTAAATGGCCCATTTCGCCTCACTGTTACTTACACATAATCCTGTCCATAATGACAGGTATCACGTGGACATGCCAGCTGTGTAAGATTACATGTTTTCACTTGCTCTGACTTCGCTCTGACTATGATGTATTGACATGCCATACTTTAGCAAAATTACACAGGTAACTATGAGTGAGGGCCATGCCTCGGGGGGGGGGGGGATGAGTGATACATTTCAATCGGTCTCTCTGTTGTTTTTCTTGCAGCACGGTCTGTCTGATCCTCCTGTTCTCTCAGTATCTCAGCAAAGTCGACGTTCCAATGATTGCTTACAAGGATAAGAAGTGGAAGGTTTTCCAGTATCCACTCTTCAAGCTCTTCTCTGTAAGTTTTCAACATTATGCAGTTCTCATGCATACTTCTTGTTTTCTTATTCACTGAAATATCTATACACCTCATTTTAAAGACAATGACCCATATCACCTTTAATTACCTCATAGCAGTGTATCAAAACTATACTAATTAACATATACTGCAGAAATTCAACCAATATCAGAACAAAGTCTGCCAGTCTGGAAACTATTTTAGACTGATGTAAAACTTTGAAAGTGATGAATTGAATCTAGAAGAATTGTTTGGTTTTTCGTAGGAAATAACCAAATCCAAGTTTGATGCATCTGGTATGTGTTTTGATCTCATGTCTGTGCAGATGCTTCTGCTTTCAGCTTATATAACGGTTAAAAAAAGTACAGGAACCTTTCAGTCACAGTCGATCCACAATATCACAATGGACACAAAAGAGGTTCACCAGTGCAAAAGGGTTTTCACAGTGGGTAACATCCTCCAGCCAGGGTGGGCCAGGTACAAGAGACCCTACTCGTGGAGTATAAGACCAAAAAGACAGATCAAAACTTCTTTGAAGTCTGTATTCTACATTACATTTCTTATGAATCATGCAAGAACTCTCTATCTCAGAAAAACTTTGAGTAAATTTGGCACAAACGTTCACTTGGAACCAAAGAATGAAGCGATTACATTTCAGTGGTCCAAGGTTGAACTCCAATGAAACTTCTCAAGGACCTTTTGTGTGATCTCTAAATAACAACTGGACGTAACCTCTGGATTTAAAAAATAAATCCTTCCTTTTGGCATTACTTACTTTTAAAACTGCAGGGGGGCACTGTACTGGTTACAAATGAGGTCCATTTGTATGCAAGTCTACCAGGAAATGACCTAACATCTCACTCACTTATTACATCATTAGACATTTTCCTAATGTGTTCCTGGTCTCAATTGATGGTTTCATGTCTTCCTCTACAGAGTAGGATGTTAACATTTAAAATGTAGCATCAATTTAGTGTCAAATAGAAAACAAACCAGGGTATGCTTAAGGGTGTGGCTAAGGATGATTGACAGGTAGCTACCATGATGAACCGCCAATCAGGATATGATCAGAGGCCTATGCATTACAACCACTTGTCTAAATGTTGACCACAAGTTTCAAGAAAACAAACTATGGACAAATAAAATGCAAAAATAAACAACTTAAAACAGTATTCACCAAACCATACATGTGTCCACTTCTGAGTAAAAACATCTTTGGATTTTGGCCATAACTCAAGAATTCATAAAAACCCTTTTCATAGCTGTCTTTCAACACCATAACTCAGGAGCAGAAGAAAAGGTTGTAAATACAGTTAAAAATGAGTTACAGTTTAGATGCCAAAATCAGTGACGCAAATCTTGGGTGTTTACAGTGAAACTGTGGTGACTGTATAACTCTCCTTTGTCACCTGTTCTGAAAGACAAGTGTAAGAGACTAGGTTATAGAAACTGAAACTTTCTTGCAGCAGTATCCATATTCCAAGAAAAGTTTCTTGTTGCTAAAACTTTTGTGGAAAAAAATTCCAGAATGTCCTTTGTTTGAAAGAAATTTGACTCTGCTTTTTGTTTCTCAACAAACTTTGACACTAAAAGACCTGCAATAGAATAAAGCTTCAGACTTAACAAAGTCCTGTCATCTTAATTTCATTTTATACATCACAAATAAAGTCATTAGCTGCAGACTGTACAGCCCCTAGAGGCAAACACAATGAAACAGAGGATGAAATAGAACGATGATGATGGACACAATTCGAGGTGGAAAAGGCTGCAATATTAAAATTAAATTTCCAATAGTACATGATACAAGCATGACATGTTTAAAAAAAATTAAGGGAATGGCTCTCTTGTTGTTTATTGCAATGTTGAGATTTTGCTAGCCTTGCATGCGACTTGAGCAAACACAGCCCCAGTCAAAGTCTTTAGCGGGATTCTTTGAGCCCCATTTCTAAAGCCCCTCAGCTATGGCTGCTTTGTGATTACAGCTATTATCTGTCAGGCAGAGAGCGCCCCTGGTGATGGACACACACAGAGAATTTTGTATTGTGTTTTTAAAACCTCTATGTACCCAGGGATGGGTTTTAAGTCAAGCACGGCTCTTTTTAACATCCGCCCATCCACTTCACCTTAGTTCAGGAACAGGTAATGTGAATACTCGTGTGGAAATTTAGACTTCTACCATGAAAAACAGTTCAAAGAGTCGTGGATACGGACTAAAGTAAGAAAGTTTATTAGATTTAAGGGTTTCAAGTAGTGGTTAAAATGGGACACTGATTCAGCATGTCTGTTCCTCTAATGAAAATTGACAACAAATGACAACACATACTGTATAATAACAGCAAATTCACATTCACCGATAGTTGAATTATTATTCTTAAGGATTTAGTTTTTGGTGGGACAGTGGATAGAGTCAGAAATCTGGAGAGTGAGTGAGGAATGACATGTGGGAAAGGAGACACATGCCGGACTTTAACCCCGACTGCGTGCTTGGTGGACTTTTGCCTTCGCACATGGGGTGTGATCTAGGTCATATTCACCAATGATTTTTTAGCTGTTTCTTTTGGATTGGATGAGGGAATTAAAGGCAGTTTGTGTGGTCATATTCCTTTCAAACAAAAAAATGTCCCTTTGATGTTGTATCTAATGTATTGTATGATATCGTACAATAAGGTATAGTTCCATAAAGTACCATATATTCATTTAAAGAGATGTTTAATCTCAACTGGACATCCTTGTAAAAAGAAGGAACAATAAAACTAGCTAAATAAAATATCCTAACAAATGGTATCATATGATATTGTTATGCACCAGAGACAAAATGTGTTTAAAAATTCATTGAGGGCCGTCAGTGGCCTAGTGCTTAGATGGCAGTCCCCACAAGGTAAAGTAAACATCAGAGATGCTTTGCCACAAGCTGCAACTGTAGGAACTACACTAACTATGGTGATACAGATCTTCTTCCGAGATGGTATTTCTTGGAGCATCCACGTTGTTGTAACCCTTCCCCATCATCAGTAGGGCCATTGTCCTCACAGACAGTGGCCATTGTCCTCCAAGCGGGTGTTTGGGTTTAAATTCGAACCTGTGGCTCCTTTTTCACCTGTCATTCCCCACTCTCTCGCTTTTCCTGATTGTCAACTCTATCTATTGTCCTGTCTCTTTAATAAAGGCATACAAATCCCAATAATAAATCTTACTGGTGACAAACATAAAGAAGCTAGGTGTAACACAAATCATGAACTTTGGATGCAACCTGGAGACTATAAATGATTTCACATTTTTCCATCAATAAACAGGACACAGTGTATTTCTCTCTGCTCAAAATCAGCCAAGAAATCGTGGCTGCAGCCGGCAGAGATGTCATTTTGCCACGTTTTAAAGCTCCTGGGTGTTCTATGACATTTGCATTTCCCTCTTTGCAAAGAGGGAAGGTGAAGAATGTGAACACACATGCAAATGAAATGCTGAGTCATGATAAAGGTTTGAAAAATGCCTAAAATGTGAAACTGAACGCCCCTCCAGTCAACTAACGAGCAGTGAGTCAGTTTGACTTCAGGGTTTAATGGTTGGAATGCTTCATGGATGGCAGCATGACATGCTTGTGCATATAGCAACATCTAAGAAGACAAACAGCCCATCATACCCCAGCGCCTCCTCACAAAGGCCTCTTGATCTCAGAGTCAACATGGTTGAGCTTGGACTATTCATTAGGATAAATTGTCTATCATAAAATGAAGCCTTAGAAAAATAAAATACTGTGGTTTTTAGCGTTAAGGAATGAAGCTTCTATAGTACCTCGGAAAGAACCCAACTGATGTAGAGGAGTACACACAATCTGCTGCCAATATCTATTTATCATGAATTAATTTATTATTGATGACTCACGCTGGCACTTAAAAACCCACTGGATGTATAGCTGTGGTTCAAATATGACACTTATGGAGCCCACTCAATTTATCTCCCTCTTGGATCCTGGATCCATCAACACAGAAATCAAGGAGATATGAAGAGCACGTTTTTTGGCTCCTTTTTCTCCCCTCAACCTACTGTTTGGTTTTCCTTGAACAGTCACACATACGAAACTCTTTGGTTCTATGTAATCCCTCAACAGATGCAAACAGAACTACACAACATGTGCCAGAGGCATGTTGTACATAGAAACTTGCTGTGCAAATTATGAACAAAGTTATAAACAGTACACTACATTAATAAAGAGTCGTAAATCTGTTTTTCCTCACAAGCCAAATGTGGGAAAGCTCTGCTTGCTACTTAGTTGAGTCTGTGATGGAAAGTCTTCACAGAAAGCTTTGTTGGAGAAGAGTCTTGTCGAACAGCTGCGGTTGCAGTTAGCGGTGGACTAATGAAGGGTTTTTAAGATCGATTGTACTGTTATTGGCTTTTTAAAGACATCAAATACCTGACAGTTTAATGTAGGCTTTGAGTAATATAAAGAAAGGCATTTAAGAGGGTAAAACAAATTTTACTCAATAGCTTCAGGTTTCAATCTTCAAAACAAGCAAATAAAAATCTTGTCTCAGCAGGTCTTTTGAATGTCCTATACATTTACATAAAGGAAGAATGTGCAACATTTATTCATATAAATACATGTGAATATCTCTCTGAGTCATGACTGTCTACAATGAGTGAGAAGCTTGAGTCCCATCGGCTGTGTTGTTGTTGGACACTTGTTTACCTCTTTGTGTCTCTTCCACACACAGTCAGATTCAGTTTAAATGTTAAAGTGCCTGCATCAGGAAACACTCTGACTGGCTAAGCACAGGTTAACTGTGATGACCTGTGATGACCTTTTGGTGAACAGGACCAATAAAAAACCTTAAGTAGAAGGCAGCAGAATGTTTTTAAGTGCTGTAACTTGAGAGTGTTACAACCATCTCTCTCTGAAAGTGGTTAAAGTAGCAAAAGAGACAGTTCAGATGGGACAGTCATTTCCTTTTATACAGCAAGTCATACCTACACATTCACACACTGACGGCAGAGGCTGCTAAGTAAAGTAACAAATCCCATTCAGACACATTTATAAGTAGAAAAGGCTGTCTCTACCACTGACCGACAGCTGCCTCAATAAGGGGTGGGAAAGTGGGACCAGATTATGACCGCCAGGATTGTACATATTGGACACATTTTTATTAGATGCACTTAATGCATGTTTTTTTTTTTTTTTTTTTACTTAAAAATTTATTTATTTTTATTTACTGTTTTTGGAGGGTGAATAGATCTCCCATCTCTGTGCTGATAAGAACACCTGTGACCTCCCTGACTGGAAACACTCACTCTTGCTCACCCACTCGCTTGACTGGTTTACTGACAGCTCTTAGCCAGCGTGTGTCAGCTTGAACACAGATGCCGCAAGATTTAGACCATGATCTTCAACTCAACTGATGGTACAGTTTTGTGTGTCAGTTTGACACATTTTGATGGCTATTAATATTCTTGGACGAGAGTAACGATAGCCAATTTTAACAGCCTGATTGTGCCAGGGCTTAGGCCGTTACTCAGTCAGTCTATATAAAGCTATAAAACATAACTGGGGGGGCGTATTGTTACCCCACCTCACTGGCAACAAAGACTACTCTACGCCTGAGCACGCTGTTTTCACACATACACAAAAACTCAGACGCAACTGGCCACATTTTTTGGGAGGCTTTTTCATGCCTTTTATTTTAGAGGTAGGACAGTGGATAGAGTCAGAAATCTGAGTGGGGAGTGACATGCAATTAAGCAGCCACAGGTCAGATTCAATCCCAGTCTGCCTGCTTGGAGGACCATAGCCTCCACACATAAAGCGAGCAAACTAACCACCAGGCTATCAGCTCCCAACATTTTTTTCACCTAGACTTACCCTTTTCCTTGCCACACTTTCAGCGTGTAGTCAGGCAAATCAGACCAGTGAACACAGCAGAAAACGTTCAGAAAATGTACCAAGAGCAAGCCTGCGAGGGTGATGACGATGATATCACTTGTCTGGCTCAGGACCAGTTCAAACATCCTGCACATAAAGGAACTACATCATACTCTTTTGTGCTCCCCAGTATGTTCTTTTACACTTGCTTTTTGATATATTTTCCAAGCGTCCTTTTTATGCCAACTGGGGTAAACGCTATAAGGGACGTGTAAATACGTAACTCAGAGCAGAGTGTCCTGACTTTTATTTTCAGGTGTACATGAAACTCTGCTTAAGAGAATTTCAGTAAAGAGTGTCATATGTTGACTAAACTTCATTTAAAATGTATCTAATATTACATTTCTAGGCTATGTTCGGGATGTGTGGAGCATGGCTGGTCTGCTTCTTACTCACCATTTTTGACGTCCTTCCTTCAAAGTCCAATGAGTACGGCTTTTCAGCCAGGACCGACATCAACCTGGACGCTGTGACTAACTCCCCCTGGTTCCATGTTCCTTACCCTGGTAAGTGCATAAATATCCTACATGAACATACAGTATATGATTGAGCATTGAAAGGGATTAACTTTTTTGTTGTAACAGACAGGAAGACAAAACAAAAAATGACCTCATTCTCAATGTAATGGAGCTCACATATGTAAAAAAGTTCCTAAGCATAACCAAAGATTCTACCCTGCAACTGTTTGATTATATAATAAAAAAAAATGTATTTCAACAAACCATCCAGTAAAGTAATGACAAACAGTTTGTTGATAGTATATCTAAATATAATTGCACAAACATGTGTATTTGTTTACAGCATTAATTCTCAAACTGTGGTACGATTACCAATGGTGGTATTGCAAGAGCACTCTTGTGGTACACTGGGAGACACTGATTTTTACATTTTTTTAAATAAAGTAAAAATCAAATGGTTGACAAGCAAAGCTGTGATGGCAAACAGAGGAAGCCAATATGATGGTTAAAGTTGTTTTGCTTTTGTGGCTGCAAACGAGAAAATTTAGAAAGAAAAGTGCGATGGATACGTTGAGTAGCAACAGCAGAAACTGAAGTCGACGACGTTAGCAGTGCCAGTTACGCTGGGCAACACGACGCAAAACACCAAGATAATATGTCTTGATTTACATCCAGTTTGGATTCTTTCAGAGCCAAACAGAGAATGAGCCCAGGCTGCAGTGTGTGGTCAATAATAAATAACAGGCATATCAGGAATAAAATGGCCTCCTGTGTAAACTGTAGTAGTTAAATAGCCCTACACTGCTGTATTTCGTTGTTGGCCATAATGGTGGTACACATTATTTTCTGTGGTGGTACCCACTGTGAAAACTTTGTGAACCACTGGTATACAGGATAGTTTGTATGATGAATATGTGTGTGTGCAGTCGCTGCTCTGATAGAATATGTTGACACTGATCACAGTAGTAATTGATATATTCATCCCTAACTGATAAAGGTTTTTTTTTTTTTACAAAATTATCATTTATGTAACTTTTCTGCCTGCCTGCCAACCATTCATTTAATTATTGACAAACATCCAAACCACTTGCAAACAGAGGACACCCTTGTAGCTTATTCAGGGTTGCACAACTGTCCTGAAATGAACTGCCAGAATGATGGAGCAAATTAAAACTACTGCTCTCAGTGCATCTTAAATCTTGGTGTATTAAATTGAGTGATGATACTTTTATTAAATAACAGGTCTTCATAACCTTACTTGGCCAAGCTGCCTCCTGAGAAAAGTCATTTTCCCCATGACCTAAAATCAGCAGCAGCTGGTGCGGATGTAGATGTAGAGCTTCTTTTGTAGAAGTTTTTTTTTTTTCTTGTCACACTTAACATGAATTCAATATTTGGCAGAAGATATTGCAACAACAAAATAAAGCATTCTTATCACTTATTTTTTACCTTAACCTTACATGAACCCTTTCCTACCTTCCATGTGTGACATATTTTGAATGCTGAGGGGCAGAAATCATCAGCTGATTTTACAGAGATTATGCAGGCATTTATAATCACATCTGCTGTTGAAAAAAAGCTATTGAGGCATCACAGTAGTCTTATTGAATAAATAAAGTAGTATTCACAAACACAACTTATTACAAGTTTGCTAATTTTGCACACTAGGGAACCAACATAATTGTGGTGGTCTTGAATATGAAGTCATCTATACTGTGCACTTAAAAGTGTTCTAGATTTATTCAATAAAGTTGGTAAAAAGGGAGGAGCAAGTGAACTGGGTCGCCTGTTCAAATCCCTGTGCGTATCGAAGTATGGCAGTTGGCCTGGTGGCTGGAGAGTTGCCAGGTCACTTCCCGAGTACTGCAGAGGTTCCCTTGAGCAGGCATCGAACCCCCTTCAGCTCTGGCTTGCTCCCTGTGTAGCAGCCCCACTCTGACATCTCTCCATTAATGCATGTCCACAGGTTTGTGCATGTGTGTTATTTGTGTGAGAAGCATGTTGTTAACCCTCAATAATCCCTTGGGGATAATAAAGTATGTAAAGGCTTCTTGCCTTTATTTAGATAGGACAGAGTAGGAAATGGGGACTGACATGTTGGAAAGGAGCCCCAGGTTGGACTTGAACCCGGGCCTCCCACTTGATGTTTTATGTAATTACCCTGAAAAGAAACTGTTATCATAATAATAATAATAAACTTTATTTATAAAGCACATTTCCAAAACAAGGTTTACGAAATGCTTTACAGGATAAAACTACAGAATCATGAAGTGTTAATCATGGAACAGGAATCAGCATCAATAAAAAACAGTAAAACATAAAACCCAGTAATAAAAAAAACCCATTAAAAACAGATGGAGTGGAAGGGTATAAAAAAATGATCTCAGGAAGGCAAGACTATAAAAGTTTGTTTAAAGAAGAGACTTGTAAGAGGAAATAGTTTTTATCATCCTAATCTCCTCTGGGAGGTTGTTCCACAGTTTGGGAGCCCTGGTGACGAACGCCCTGGTGGCTAACGCTCTGTTTCTCAATGGGGACTTTGGAACCACCAGCGCAGCATTTGAGGACCTCAAAGCCTGTGACTGTACATGAGGAGTTAAAAGATCAGAAATATAAATTGGGGCCAAACTGATAAGTAAAATTTTAAAATCAACTCTAAAACTATCTGGCAGCCAATGTGAATGTCTAAATTTGTTCAAATCAATAGAATGTTGTCCAGGTTTCTTCAACAGAGGTTGAATAAGAGGGCACAATACCAGTGGATTGGGAACTAGTTAACTATATGAATGTTTTTATTCATCAAAGGCTGGGAAATGTTTTGGCATTTTTTTGGTCTTAAATGGTGCAATTTCATCAAGGATGGAATTTCAGATGGTATTCAAATTTGTTGACTAAATTAGTATTGGTATGTAAGTATTGGAAGAGGTAGAATAAAAAAACTCTAGACCGTAGCTGTGTACGTGAGCCAGTAAGACAAGAAGGTAAAACCAAACATAAGCAATAGTGATCAGAAATGGAAGGATCAGAACATGTTATGAACATGTTATAAGATAAAACAAGATCAATAGTATTGCCCGACCATGAGTGGGCCCGGTCGGTAATAGGGATAAATTAAAGGACTTTGTCTTTTTCTGATGAGAATTGTGAGAAGGATCATGCCAAGGTGTCTGTCAAGGAGAATAAAAAGCTATAAAATGGATCAAATTAGAAACCGGTTGCTTGGTTCCTTTTTTATTTGGGTGGGTCCACTTTGTAGAGGTCCAGCTTAGTCCACAAATAGGACAAAGTTACTGATAAAATTATATCCTGCAGCTAGACAAACATTTTTTAGCCAATGGTGGAGACTAAAAATGCCACAATGGGCACTCCAGTATTACACATTGACACAAAACCTGTGCTGTTTAACGGCTAAAGCTCCATCGCAGAGTCTGTTCTCGCCTGGTTTGGTAATCTCTCGATAGGAGACAAGAACAGGTTGCAACAAATCATTAAAGTTGCCAGTAAGATCATTGGGGTTAAATGGCCTGATCTGCCTCTTGCCTTTAGTGAGAGAGCAACAGCTATGGCACAAGACATCCTACAGTGTCCTCAACAACCTCACTTTGGTTTTGAGCTTCTGCACTCTAGACAGGAGATACAGATTACTAAAAGTTAAATCCAACAGATTTAAAATGTATTTTACAACTCAGGCCATCAAACTGTTGGTTTTTAATGATTGGTTTTAAAACAATTTCCCCCTTGGGGACAATAAAGTTTAAAGTTATTCCATGGTTGGGGTTACAAGCATATAAAATCATATGAGCAAATAAAAGTGGTGCCACCAGGATTAAATTTCATTGTATGTAAAAGAACAATTCCAGAAGACACCTTTATCTTCCAGGTTCCCCACGTGCTTATTTGTGATCACAAGGACAGGGGCATACAGGGGCATACAGACGGAGACAGAGAGAGTCAGAGTTAGTCAGCACACTGACTCTATCTACCTGTACAAACACCAGAGATTTACCTCCCCCTAACCTGGTGTTCAAAACAACCTTCAGCTAAATATTGGGGACAATGTACTGTATTATTACAGACCATGAAGGCTATTAAGGGGCACATAGGGGCTTTAAGTCTGTGCTGCGGGTCATTTTTAAGCCCTACAAGAAGAACCTCGCCAATATAAATTTTCAAATTTCTCACAGTTGTTGAGTTGTCAGAAAAATGGCACCAGAAATCCAGAGCAGCCATGTGGAGAGCCATTGATAGTTATTACAAGAAGAGAGAGCCAGCATTCAAAATTGACTTAATGAGTTATATATATTTTTTATTTTATTTTGTTTTTCCAGAAAGTCTAGTTTCTACTGGGACTGCTGGGATGAGTTAATACTGTTGAAATCATGCAAAATATAAGGGAATAAGATCTGTCATGAGATTTTGATCATTTCAGATGCATGAGTAGCAGAGAAAGTCAGCATGGCGTCTTGTGAACCTTTCGTCAGGCAGATATTGGGTGTCCATAAATATTTTCATTGGTTTCAGAAAACAAAAATCATTTGCCTTGTAACATGCAAACCCTAGCAGTCTGCGAGCCATTCCTTCAGTCACAACAAAATATAGGGAATTCTAGTATTGTGCCAACCAAAGTGGAAAAACCTCAACATGATTTCAATATTGAAGAATTTTGGCAGATTAATCAGTAACTTTCTTTAAGTGTACAGTTATGTGTTTGCATATCTGCATGAATGGATGCTAAGGTGTCCCTTCTCTGTTCCCGTAGGTCAATGGGGTGTGCCCACAGTGAGTTTGTCTTCAGTGTTGGGCATGATTGCTGGAGTCCTAGCATCAACCATGGAATCGATTGGTGACTACTATGCATGTGCTCGCTTATCTGGAGCCCCTCCCCACCAACTCACGCCATAAACCGAGGTATCGCTGTGGAGGGCATCGGCTGCATCCTGGCTGCAATGTGGGGAACAGGAAACGGCACCACCTCCTACAGCCAAAACATTGCTGCACTTGGCATAACCAAGGTACCCATCAAATTCTTCTCATTTGATGTCTGAGCAATATAAGTATTCATTGGAGTCTTGTTTCGAAGGGCCTTATGAAATAGGGCTGGGAAATATAATCAGTTTTTAATAATATAGTTTATGATGTGTTAATATTTGAATGGTATTTATTTTAATTTAATAGAGACAATGTATTTAACATAGTTTCCATGCAAAACATGAATACTTATATCCAGATTTTAAATCATAAATATGTTTTAAATTATCATTGGCGCTTCACACAACAAAATAATCAGGGACATGCATCAAAACTGAATGCTGTTAGGGGTGAAACAGCCCAAAACTGATGGCCGTGATTTTTTCCTTGGGTAATGGACCCATTAATGTCATTAAGTCAGTTCCTTCTGTTCTTTTTCAATTTGCAGTATAATATGTATTTATAAGGGCAGCTTCAACCATTATTTTGTATCCTTAACCCTGGTATCATCTGGTAGTAAAACGACTGACTCTGAAGGATATCATTCAGATGAGTAATATTAAACACAAACAAAATAAAATGTTTTGCCATCGATAAAATCTTTTTGCTTCACAGTGTAACTCAGAATAAAATCTTCAACCACCTTTTTTTCTATACAACCAAATAGTGACTCTCTGTCAGACTCTTTCAGTGCTTTAGTTCCTCTTTAGACCAGGACCAGTTTACAGTCTGTTCTGACAGGCTATTGTATTTCACCTCCTGGCACAGTGCCATGATGGTGTGCTGACCTTTGGCATCTTCTCTTTGAAGATTTTACTGCAAAAAACTCAACCTCACTTAAGTGAGCTCAGCCCTTCAAGGGCCTAATAAGAGATTAAGCTTTGTGATCTTACAGTATCTGTACTTCTGTACTTTGTAGATGTAAAGATCAGGGGATAATAGGTTGTGAATAATGGAAATTACAAGATATGGGGTTAAACGTTTAGATTTTAGGTAACTTTTTCTAACACGGTTTCTGCTTGGCATTCATTTTTATAAACTCTTTGGCCTGTTTGATGGAAACTCTGATTGTAATGCTAATTCAAGACTTTACCCACAGTCACACTGTTACAGCATGTGACACACTGTAGTACTTCTGCACGTGATGCATGCAGTCAAGTGCCCAGCAGAGGTGAAGGAGGGCAGACTCAAGACTCCTGGAATGCATAAATAATGTAGATTTATGGGGACTTAATGTGTCTGGCTGAGAGATTTGGTAGAAAGATGGCACTTTCCAGCTTCTACTTAAGGCATCATTCAGATTTGCATTAAAATGACAGCTCGAAACCAATCGAAAAATTATATTTATGTGGATTTACTCCACTTTTCATATATAGGCCATTTTTGCTTTCACTGGATAGGATAGTTGAAGAGAGATCAACAGTACAAACTCATCACACACTCCCGCTCTCAGCCAGTGCCTGCCGAGACTGTCGTTTGTAGGATGGAGAATGAATACAGACACACAGACTCCTTCACAAACTTTCACTTGTGAAACACATATCCAGTGTTTCGCGGCCGATAATGATGCTTGTTTGTGTACGTACAAGCACGTATGATGCGAACACGAGGGAGAGCGAGCAACAGGTTACTGGTGCAGTTCGCCTAACGGCCATGCGGTGTTAGACACAGTTTTTTGAAAGTTACATATAGCCCCTTTAAGAAACAAGCAAAAAGCGATAAACTGTTTTTTCTCACTGAGAAAATGTGCCAAATAGTAAGTCGACGACAGTGGATGACTGGATAGTTTGTGCGCCTCATGTACAGAGGCTGACGTCCTCGACGCGGGCAAAGCGGGTTCGATTACGACCTGTGGCTCTCTTCCTGCATGTCATTCCCCACTCTCTCGCTCCCTGGTTTCCACCTCTATCCACTGTCCTGTCTTTTAAAATAAAGGCACACAAAATCCCAAAATAAATCTAGGTAAGTAAAGTAGTAAGAGCATGAACCTACCTTAATGTGACCTAACTGCAGGAAGCATTGCCCTATTTTGGATTAAACTAGCTACAATAACTAGGGCCCTCATTATTCATCATTGCTAAAAATGTGTTCAAGACCACAGGCATACCTGAATTCTCCTGAATTGTTTTGGGGACTCGAGTACATCAAAATATTACTTTCCAGCTGCAGTTGCGCCTCATTTTCAAACTCCTACAATGACCAGGGCCACCATCAGTACATGTAGTTGTCTGTCCATTTAAATAGGAAGTGTCTTTGGAGCCGCCACAGCCAGGCAGGTGACACTTTGTTTTACTTCTGGGATTTTTCCCGCAAGACTTTCGACCAATTAGAAAGCATCTCCTTGCACATCGCACATTTTCTTCAGCTTGTAAATGTCCAAGACCAAGCTTATTTATGGTATAGGTAATTATGCAACAATATAACAAATTGTTCCATGATTCAAACCAGAGCAAATGAACTACAGGTGTGAAACCACCCTTAAAAAGTGATGGGTCCAAATAGAACAGAGCTCTGACGTTTAGCAGATAAATATTTGTTTACTGCAAGAGAAAAGAGATTTATTTGCTTTAAAAACAGACAGCTTTCTTTTCCTGAAATAACTTAATTATTTAATAAGAGATAAATGAAGAAACTAAAGAGAACTGTTATTTTTATTTCTTTGTGATGGTAATACCAATAATTTCCATGTGAAGGTTAAAAAGGTAGATCAATTGGAAAAAGGTGTACATTTAAGGAAAACCAAAGATAACATGGTAAAAGGGTGATGGAAGTCCCTGCAGGATGCTTTACGGATCTGTTGAGCACGCACAGGAATTCAATCCAAGAACATGTTGTATTTCATTTCGTATTTCACTGTGAAACCTGCCTTGTTAATCCAATTTTGCAAGACACATAACATCTTAATAATAATAATAATGTATACTTTATTGATCCCGTGAGGGGAAATTCGTTTTTACACTCTGTCTAGTTAACATGCTACACAAACATAGGCCGAAATACACACACATGCACAAACAGGAACCTATAGACATGCACTAATGGAGCGGTTCCAGAGTGAGGGGGCTGCCCACAGTGGGCATAACTAGATGTAACCCTTGAATTTGATTTGAGTTGAGTTTGATTGAAGAACAACTGAAGGTGTAAATCCACTGAAGATCGAATTTGCCTGACACGCCTCCCAGCTCCGCTGCTCACTTGTTGTCATGAAGTAAAGAGTCTTTTCAACAAAAACTGAATTCCAAAAGTTTTATTCAACAGTATATTACCGTTTGCTCATGGCACAGAGTGGCTTTTCCCCCTCATAAAGTCAAAAACATATGAAGAAAGAGAGGGAGAGAGAGCTCAAACAGATTAGATTAAGGAAGTGTAACATAGGTTGAGGGAAAAGAAACACAAAAGTCAATAGATTGTGTTACAATAAATGTTTGCAATTATAAATGGTTTCAAATTGTATTTGTGCCCACAGACCTGTTTCTGTGTATTTTTGCAACAAAAAAATTTCCTTGATTGTGATAAATCATCCAGAGATTTTTTTTTTTATTGGAACGCCATGCACTAGTTAGCTTTATAATAACTTCTGGAAATGGGGATCAAAGCACTGTTTTGTGAACACTCCAAGATGAACCATCTGGATACCATCCCCTCTTCACAATACTTACTTCCTCTGGCCCTTACCCTCTATATATATACAGTACATATAAAACAGCTTTAATATCTATGATCATCACACAGATGAACAAAAACTGTTAAGGTATTTCCTGTATTCTCTGTAAACACTGTCGACGTGCCCTAAAAAATTAGGAGACGTGAAATGTTATTTTTTACATTTTCATGGAGTATTTGACTTGAATATGTGAAAAGTATAACAGTGGGGTGATTTAATATGACTAGTGTGCTGTTTCGGAAAAAGCCTGTGTCTAGATCCATAGCATGCTTTTCAGAAATTCTTTTTCCCACTTAGTGCTTTTGTAAAGTGACACTGTCATGTTGAGAACCCGTCTTGTATGCACCTTATCATAACTCCCCTCTTGTCTTTTTATGGCAGGTTGGCAGCAGGCTGGTCCTCCAAACGACTGGTATCCTGATGATCGTCCTGGGAATCTTTGGGAAATTTGGAGCCGTTTTTATCACCATCCCAGACCCGGTTATTGGGGGCATGTTTCTCGTAATGTTTGGAATGATTGCAGCAGTGGGAATATCAAATCTCCAGGTGAACAAAGTGTAGCAATGTAGTTTTTACATGCCTCTATTCCACTGAAAAACCCTGACACACACATTCTCCTTTTAAAGGTTTCCCATCTTTCCCCAACACTGATGGTGTGCTACTCAGGGCATAATAGTTGTGAAGAAAAGAAACTACCTATCGGGATCAATTAAAGATAGCTCTTTGAAAGGATACTCAATCTAATAGGTCTATTAATTTAGCTAAGTTTATTTGGATATTGTTAAAGTAAAAATCTGACAGAAAAAAAGTGAATACAAATAAATCACATGTGCAGGCGAGGTAGAAACCCACTTTGGCCTTTTCTCAAAACTGGACATGACTTGGAGTTGGACACCTCTGGCTGTGTTCACCCTGATGTGTTGGTGGATGATCTTAAAATGTATATTTGATTGTATTTTTATGTTTAGCTGCTTGTTGTTTGTGTGAAACTCTCTTAATTGTGCTGCTGCCTGTCTTGGTCAGGACTCTCTTCAAAAAGAGATTTCTAATCTCAACGAGTTTCTTAAAGTAAAATAAAATGAAAAAACCTAACCTCAAGAGATAAACAAACATCAAAATTAATAGATAAAAAACAGCAATAACAATACCATGCTAGATATCAACTAACATCAATATATTCTACCTAATATAAATGACATACGAACATTGAAACATAAAGTAGAGCAACACAGCACATATTGTTTGTTGTTGATCTAAAAATAAGAAAACAAACAGAGAAAACAAATGAAAAATGATTCCTGAAAGCAATACGGCTGTTGTCAAGTGATATAATGCTATACTTAAATCACGGAATGGTAAGTGTGTATGTTTTCCTCAACTTTGTAACAGGATGGGGACCTCACCATCGCAAACTCTCACTTCTGCAATGTCTGTACGCCTCACATCAATGAGGGTTAGGTTTAGCCAAAAGCAGAAGGCAACATCTGACAGTATCACAATATACTTGTGTAAGTCCATATTTGTATCATTTTTTAAATTGTATCGCAAGGTGTTACATCCCTGCTGTTAAAAATCAGGATCAGAATTTATAATGAAAAAAGTTACTTTTTATTCAGTGATATTACAGACGTTTTTGTTCTTTTTGTTCTTTTTTTAACTTACAGGTATTAATCCACTATTACTTACTGTCATTACTACTCTCTCAGGTCATACACATCTATTCATTTTATTTATGGTTGATTGGATAAGGACAGATACAGTATACATAGACAAACTTAAAACAGCAATCCAATGCAAATATCATAGTGTTTATAGAGGGTGCTAATTTTCAACACTTGTCCCTAAAGGGCTTTTGTGTAAATAAAAGATAAAAAAAAGTTAAAAAGGAGAAAGATAGAGTAGACTGGGTACAGTTAGATACACATTTAGATTTGATACAAACAACTAGAAATGAGTAGAAGTCTGTTGCTGAACTAACCAGGACTTAGTGGCTTTCATAAAAGTGGTGAAGTTCGCAGTAAGCTTCAAGTGATCAGGTAGTGAGTTCCAGGATTTTACTCCTTTCACAGAAAAATCTGTTTGAGCAAAGGATGCTCTGCACAATGAAACTTTACAGTTACCACTTGAAGCTGCAGCCCTGGATTCTGTATGTATTTTGCAGAAAGGCTGAGGAGCAAGTCCTTTTAAACAATTCTTTAACATGAAGGTTGAAGAATAGTTATTAGGATTGTCATGTGTGTCTACATTTTTTCCCTTGGCTTTTTAAGCTGTTGTGAAATGCTCAAGAGAATGTTTTGTTTTTTTATTCATAACAATTAGCATCTTGCAAATGAAACATTTCTTTAACCCCTCCCTCCCCAAAAGAAAAAAAGGGATAAAAGCAGATCGTATCCATCTGTTTCTTAAAGCAATGAACATAATTTAAAGCTTAATTTGGCCGTTGCAAATCTTTCTTCAACATGCATCCAAAATGGTCAGCTATCCAACACACAACGGGAAGTTGTTTTTCAGCTCTTCCATGAAAATGGTTTTCATTTCAGAACATACCAGTTTGTAATGTTGGTCAAGAAGTCTCTTTTGCCCGAGTGCAATAAAAACTTCAAATATCCCTGTCAGGTTGTTCTGATTTCACTCAACAGGGAGTCTGAGTGATTATTAGAAAATCTTCTCTTTGTACTATAGCTTTAAAAAAGAAACACTAAATCATAAGAATCCAGTGTTCTAAAACCCAGGCAGTGAATTTTCCCCGAAAAAGATTTGAGCAGCTGCAGCTCCCACAAGTCTTCAGTGCTTTTACTTTGTAGGAGCTACATTACAATTTGTCTGTGGAATAATTGCTTGCCATAATTCTCAAACATTTCTGACATTGTGTACAAAAACTGAAGCATTTGTTTTTTGATAATGTATCACTGGTTTTCTGTTCAACAGGATTTGAAAAAAATACATGATTAAAGCCACTGTGGAGAACTTTTGTTTTGTCGGTACCTCTTATCTCTGTGATGATCCTGTACTCCACATGTATGTGAAATTTTTGAAAAGAATAGAAATGAGATCTTTAAGTGGAGAAACACTTTGTAGTCTAAGACTCTCTTGTTTTCTCTCTCTGCAGTATGTGGACCTTAACTCATCCCGTAACCTCCTCATTCTGGGCTTCTCTACCTTCAGTGGTCTCGTTTTACCGTCCTGGTTTCACTCTAATCCTGGCATCATCGACACAGGTGATTTTCACACACTGAAACTCGTTTGAATACACACACAGTGACTGTATATCTGATCAAAGAATGGTTTTAATTCTTCTATCTATTTTTGACTTTGACTCTATTTTGACGCTCTATAAATAAAGTAGACTTGTCTGCAGCGGGACTTTAGAGACTGAAATCCAGTCAATCATCCACTAACTTTATCTGAATAGTTGATTTAAATCCTCCATCTATTTTAATGTAATCAAAACTGTGATGTGACTTGAAGTACAGAATCTTTTCTGCCGGATAATTTTTTTCTTACAGGTTATACAAAAGGTCAAGTATGCTAATATAGAAATTCAGTTTGGCTGAACTTAAAAGAGAACTTTGGAAGCTTCATACTTGAAGACATAACCGATTGGCCTGAAAAGTGTTGAATTCGCCACAGGCTGACCATCAGATCTTTTGGGTTTGAAGCAAAATTTAAATACTTCATATGTGATATTTCATCAGAACTTAAGTTGTTGGAAAAGAAGAAAAGATGTTCCACTTCCAGATAAGAAGTGGAAAAAGATAGCTGAGATCCTGCCAGCAGAAGCACCTAATGGGCCAAAGAGTTTCCAAATCCAATGGGCCCGTATTGGAAACATGAAGCAACATTTAGTCTTTAGCCTGGATTTGACAGAGAGAGCCTCATTAACTGTCTTAACCTCACCCTGACTTAGTTTGTATGTGTCTGTTTTTTGTTTTTTTTTGCCCCTTACAACAGATGTCTGCCAGTGTGTATCTCAGTTTTTCAGTCAGGTCATATACTAAGGGTTCAGGTAGGTGTAAGAAGCTGTCCTACCTGTAGGGGGCAATAGTGGGGCTTTGGGTATAAGGCTCTGCACATTGATACATGCCTCTTTGCTGGATATCACTTTGGGTATTAGTCTGAGGGTGTGATATTTACTAAAGTTCATTAGTGTGAGGGTGTCAGTCCCTTAGTGAGTGTGACTGTAAGGGATTGTATTGATTACACATGACCTTGAGAAACTGTAGATGCAGCAATTGTGGTGTGCAGATTGTTGGGGGGAGGTAAAAGTGTGGGGGGCGGGGTAATTTTGTCCAGTTTTAGGAAAGGAATACAAACTCATTTTTGTCTGGATTTAAGATTCAATGTCATAGTTATCAGATTGTTTGGTCTATTAATGACTGAATAGTTTTAGAATTAGTTTAAAAAACAAACATTTGTGAACCTAATTTATAATCTGGCAGCTTTCTGGGAAATCAATGGTTGGCATGGGTCACAGAGGGCAAGATTCTCATACTTGGCTGCAGGGTTGAATCTTGGTTTAATCCGGGTTTAGCGGTAACACTGGGTTGCTTGTGTGTTCTGTATCAAATGGCAGTAGTTGTGTGAAAAAAGCCGGTGGATTAGCAACTGGTTGATCGGGTACGTAGAGGAAACTTGAAAAAAAAAACCTGTAAAGCTTAAACTATAAGACCTGCTTCCTGTAACTGCTGCAAATACTAAAATCAGTCATTCTTTATAATTTGTCAATATAGCCATTATTGTGAGGCTTTTTTATTTTGTGAACCTATACGTTTTTACTTTTATTTTATTATCAAGTTATGATTGTTTTTCATCTTAAATCACATTGAGATTACATTTTAAATAAAGAGTGCTTTACAAATACAACTAAATTGAAGAAATAAAGTGCACATTTGTAAAAAAAAAATATTTACAAATATCAGAATCAGAAATACTTTATCACTGGGGGGATCCAGAAGCTCTTGTAAAGAATTTAGGCATGTAGAAAACAGGACATAAACAGAAGTTAGAAAAATGTAGAATATGATAGTTTTATACACACTACAAATATACAAATTATGACTGTCAGCATTAACTAGTTAATCAAGAGTAATTAAGCTCTGAAATTAATGCATTTTTTTTTTTAATTATGATTAATCTCATGCTATTTTGTTCCTCCATACGGACCATGGATACGCCTCTGCAGCGTCTTCCTGTAGTCACAGTGATGGAAAAGAACGACACTGCTGCATCGTCATAACCTTTCATCTACCAGAAGGTCTTTATTTCAAAATAATGAATTGCAACAGCAATTAAAGTACTCTCCACTAAGGACAGCACAAGAATTCAAAATAAGAGCCTATTGAGGGGATTTTTATTTTTAAATACAAAAGAATGGAATTTAAAAAATGCTATTAAAATGTGATTAATCAGTTAATCTATTGAATTTTAGCTATTAATCACAATTTAAAAAATGCATTTTTTCACAGCTCTAATACAAATATTTAACACACTATATATAAAGAAATAGGAGTACATCTCTAATCTATATATAGTAGGTACCATTCTACATCCAGTATGCACAGCTAAGTTATTGAACCCTACAGACTCAAGAATTGCCACTGCCTGTTGTAATATGTCCAGAGTGTCATTTGGCATTGTCTTGCTGAAGTAAACAAGGCCTTCCTGAAAAATAAATGTTCTATTTGCCAGTATACTGTATGTTGCTCCTGACATGTATGTATGTAAAAGCATTAATAGTGCCCTCACAAATGTGCAAGTTACCCACGCTATGTGCCCTTATGCAGCCTCATGCTATCACAGATGCTGGCTTTAGAACTTAGCGCTGATAATTAGCTGGATGGTCCCTCACCTCTTTAGCCAAGAGAACGGATGGTCATTGATTGCCCAACATATAGTCCATTTTGAGTCAACAGACCTCAGAACAGTTTTCAACGGCATCTTAGTTTGAATTTTCCCTTGGGATCAACAAAGTATCTATCTATCTATTATAAATGTGTAATATCATTTTCCAAAAACAAAGACAGTTCTCTGTTTTGACATGTTGTCTTTGTGCTATTTTCAACAACATATTGGGTTTCAATATTTTATAAATCACTGCATTCTGTTTTTATAACATTTTTCAAATTGTCTTATCTTTTTAGGAAATGGGATATAAGGTTTTATAACAGCCAAAATCCTTACTTTAACCTAACATAAAGAACCTTGTCTAAAAACCTGAAATTCAAATTAAATAAGACCATTTGAAGCTCTTAAAAATACAAGTCTGATCAATCAGAGATCTTACAACCAGTCCAAGATAAATCATAGCCCCTCAGCTGATGATTTCCTGCTTTTGATGTGCTGCGGAGCGTGCACTCTGCCACCTTTTACGAAGCACCATCAAAAGAGCAATCCTCCAGATTAAACAGTTCTTCTCTACAGACATAAGACCTTGATCCCATGAGTCATGTGATGCGAGTGTCTCCCAGGAAAGTGCTAATCAAGTGCAACACTGGGCATGAGGGCTTGTCTGGTTCTCGCAGGTCTAGGCTGCTTACCTCCCAATCCTCTTGGCTAGCCCCTATGTCACTGGCTGTAATCTGCCCGGCTCAGATTAAGCACACTTGCCCCCCAGTTTTTCCCCCGGCCTCAACACTCTACTGATAGCGCAACACAAGAGGAGGCCTGTCAGCACAAAGTGTAAACAAACTGTTGCTCATCCAGACTTAGAGGTGCAGGCTGTTGGATTTAAAATCCAGTCGGCGGGTGCTTTGAACTTTTGACTCCTGGCTTACTGGGTAGGAAATGTGTAAGTGTGTGTGTGTGTTGGATCAGTTCTTTGAACAAGTCCCGTGTGTGTTCCGAGTCAAACTACGTCAGCGCTGTTTGCAATTCTTTATTCAATTCATTACAATTTCATTAGGAAATTTGTTGCCCGAGGGGCATAATGAAAGCCGGGGCATGCAGGCATCCACAGATTTGAATGGTGCTCTGTGTTCACCCATGTGCTGGGGCTAGCACATGCCACATGAAAGGCCAGATCTTGCCTAGGATATCAGAGAGTCATGGTGGTCAAGTGATCACACAAGCTGCCCGTCAGCCACCCAGCAACTTATGTCTAAACATCCTTCTGTCTGTCTGGCTCTTTGTGAACCTGTAGGCTTCACAGGACTGGCCAGAGACATTCTGCTGGCTTAATTCTCCACTCTAACAACTGCTGAACCCTGTCTGGCCTGTCATGTGGCATTTATGAGGAGCTCAATGCTAAGTTGTTTTTGTGTGGTCATTTAGCCTTTTATCTGACAGTTAAAGGCTCAAGAGAGACAAAAATGTGGGATGTAATATGTTCTTACCTACTTACTAAAATCATTATCGTAGATACAGTCCTGAAAATTTTTAGAAAATATCAGACAGTCTGCCCCTGAACTCTTCCTTCCTTCCTTGGTCCCACATGGCCATCAGAGTTAGAAGTTTTCTCCGTCGAAAAGGGGATGAGGGGTCTCGGGTCAGCTCAGCAGCCGAGACATAAGGCCTGCCTGTCGGAGGCAGTGAGGACGAGGAGCCCGGGCTGGCTCAAGCTGGGGCGGACTGGTAGTGTCCGTGCTCTCGCTGTTTGCCTATAGACACAGACGTAGAGTCTGTTTTCTGCCAGGAATTTCCAAGATAACAATTCCTTCTGGAAGAAATCTCTGAATCAGTTGAGGAAATGGCCGTATGTGTTGAAGTAAATATGTCTGTAACTGTTTTTATTACTATATTTTTACTGCTTTATTGTATTTTTTGGAGAAACTGTAACGATCAAATTTCCCTCTGGAATTCCTATTTCTGATTCTGATTCGGACCTTAGTGGGAGTGGCCTGCAGTGCTGTGCATTCTGAGATTTGGTGTCTTTCATCCACATGAGCCAAAAAGACACTTTCTGCCTTTTTCTCAGCCAAGAAGGCACCAACTTCAACATTTATTTCACATTTCTACTGGAGGTGGGCGATATGGGAAAAATATCATACCACGATTTTATCACAATTTTTTTTTATACTGATCTTTAGACCAATTTATAAGTTACTGACCAGTTCAACCAAACTTATTTCCCTGTATAATGTTTTTAAATGCACAAAAACTGTGCTGACAAGTTTAATCTATTTGAAAAACATCTTTGTGGGAGGTCTGGAGGTCTCACCCAGAACATCCTTAGCAACAGAAATATCTTCGCCACTGTTATAGCAAGATGGCGGTGCGCACAGACGCGGCGGCCTGGAGCTCTCCGACAGCAAGCAACGATTTTATCAAAAATAGGACTTGTACCCGAACTGAACTTATCAGACACGGCTCAACTTATAATACTCCCGAAGGATTCGGCTCATTCCCTGCGGAGATAACACGCTCTGCCGAGTGCAGAGCTGGAACGAAGACCGGATGAGCAGAGAGGAAACACCGGAGGCGATGCGAGAGGAGGCAGGCGAGCCGGCATCCGGGCTAGGCTGAGAGCAGCTCCGTACAGAGCTGCACTACCGAGCATCTTTCTCGCTAACGGCCGCTCTCTCATCAACAAGGTCGACGAGATAAAATTACGGATTTTCAACCGCCGCTTGGACAGCTGTGCAATGATCATCACTGAGAGCTGGCTACATGAAAACATCCTGGACTCAGCACTGGAGCTAGCAGGCTACTCCATCTATCGGGCAGACCGCACATCGGACTCTGGTAAGGCAAGAGGGGGAGGCGTGTGCGTGTACATTAATAACAGCTAGTTTACCGACAGCACCATAACCCAGAGACACTGCTGCCCAGATGTGGAGGTTTTAATGCTCAGATGCAGACCTTTTCACCTGCCAAGAGAATTCACCGCAGTGTTCATTGCAGCAGTATATGTTCACCCCCGGGCTAACGCCAAACTAGCCATGAGCATACTGCATGACAACATAACCAGAAATCATAACCACTACCCAAAAGGCAAATTTATTGTGGCTAAGACTTCAATCACTCCAATCTTAAGTCTGTAATGCCAAGATTTCACAAGAATGTGGACATTAAAACAAGGAATAACAGGACACTTGACCAGATATTTACAAACATCCCTGGTGCATACAAGGCTCACCCATCCCCCCATCTTGGACAATCTGATCACCTATCCCTGTTCCTGACACCAGCCTACAAACCCCTCATCAGCAGATCAAAACCCAGTATAAAGACAGTGCAGGTCTGGAGTGAGGAGGCCTCTTCTGCACTCCAGGACTGTTTTGAGGACACCATGTGGGAGCTCTTTGAGGAACCAGACATCGAGCTCCACACCTCATCAGTCTTACATCAACTTCTGCATGGACAATGTGACCACGAAGAAGCAGGTCAAAGTATTCCCCAAACAAAAACCTTGGTTCAACAACAGCGTGCGAGTGCTGCTCAAAGCCAGGGATGCAGCATTCAGATCAAGGGACAGGGAAGCATACAGCAGAGCAAGAGCAGACTTAAACAGGGGCATAAAAACTGCTACTGTTACAATACAAACAGCAGATTGAGGCCAACTTCGAAGACAACAACCCCCGCTCCATGTGGAAAGGCATCAGGAACATCACAGACTACAAACAAAGCCACCACACCCCCACCACCGACACCTCCCTCCCAGACCAGCTCAACTCATTCTTTGCTCGCTTTGAGAAAAACTCTAACAAAGGAACCCCCATCCCCTGCAGACTCATCAGGTGAAGAGGGCCCTCCTCAGCATAGACTGCAGCAGGGCCAGACGGGGTCCCTGGACGAGCGCTGAAGGCTTGTGCAGACCAGCTTGCTGCAGTCTTCACACCAATATTCAACAAGTCACTACAACAAGCCACAGTCCCCACCTGCCTGAAAACAGCAACGATCGTCCCAGTGCCCAAAACATCGGCAATCTCAAGCCTGAATGATTACCGGTTGCCCTGATCCCGGTAATCATGAAATGCATGGAGAGACTGGTACTGTCACACATCAAATCCTGCATTCCCGCTGGTTTTGATCAACACCAGTTCGCTTTCAAGTCCAACAGATCCACAGACGACGCCATCTCACTTGCACTGCACACTGCCCTCACCCACCTGGAACAGCCCAACACCTACGTCAGAATGTTGTTTGTTGACTTCAGCTCTGCATTCAACTCCATCCAGCCCAGCAAACTGGTCAGCAAACTGCAAACACTGCAGCTAGGAACCCCCCTCTGTCTGTGGATCCAGGACTTCCTAACCAACAGACCTTGCAGACGACACCACCATTGTAGGACTGATCTCCAACAACAACGAGGCGGCCTACAGAGAGGAGAGACAAACATTCTCTGGGTGGTGTAAAAACAACAACCTGCACCTCAATACGAAGAAAACCAAGGCGATAATAATTGACTACAGAAAAAAACAAAAAACACCCCACAACAGTCTGCACATAAACCAGGAAGAGGTGGAACGTGTCTCCAGCTTTAAGTTCCTGGGAGTGCACATCTCAGAGGACCTGAGCTGGAGGACCTGAGCTGTCAACACAGCACACCTGATAAAGAAGGCACAGCAACAGCTCTTTTTCCTGAGGACCCTGAGGCGCAACAGACTCCCTCGTGATCTGCTGAAGAACTTTTACTGCTGCACAATAATAACTGTATATACTCTGTCACTGCACCATAACTTAACTTATTTGCACTATATCTCTATATTTATGTTGGTTTAATTAATCAGTCACTGTAAAATAATAACTGTATATATTCTTTCAGTCACCATAACTGTCTATTTATTTATTATTATTATTATCATTCATTCACTGAACAGCAATTGCTCTGGCCACTTTTTGCATATTTCTCTTTCATATCACCACAAATATATTTTTGTTGTTGTTTTTGTAAACTCTGCTGTTTAGGATTGCTGCTAACAAAGTTTCGTTGTGTCCTTGTATACAATGATAATAAAGATTCTATCTATCTATTTGATCAATATTTATAAACAATTTGAAGGTTTTCCTCACCACTTTGAAATTAGGAGTTAGTTATGTGTCCTCTTTATGTTCATCAGGAACATTTTCACACAGTGATGCATTTATTTTAAAAACATGTAGACTTCAAGTTCTTGTGTTTCTGTTCTATTTTAGCCCTGCAGAATTCCTACAGCTGTAGCTTCATACAGGCTCTGCAGCCTTTGTTGTTTTTTATGACATCATTTAGTTTTGTTTATATATAATCAAATATAATACAGAATGTGTTTATTCTATGACACATGATCAAAGTAAGTTTTACTGAAAGAAGAGTTTAATTCATAGAGGGGGCGGGACATTGTTGATTGACAGACAGTCACCATGGTTACTCACTCTCACCTGCCTGCTGCTTTGTAACGTTGTTTAGTGTAATCCCTATAAATTCGGTAATCACAACAGGTGAGCTTCGGGTGGAGAGGCTTCATAGTTACTTTTAAAAACCGAGCAGAAAACACCGACAGCAACATTTTAAACACCGGTGTTATATCTCTCATCACTGACTGTCTGAGCTTCGCTCTGTCTGACTCTCTGCAGACTGTTAACGTCTCTCCGGCTCGTTAAACGGTTTCTTGTGTCGCTATCTGAGATGTAAACTTAACTGTGCAAACTATGCAGATAAGTTAACTGTTGCTCACGCCGTGTCGGTTTGAGAAAATATCATTTGCATATAACCGGGATGGAGTTGATTTTGCGGACTTTACTTTTAAGTTTCGTTTTCACCGCCACGTAGCAAAAGAAGAGCGAGGGAGACACGTCTGTGTTGGAGCATAAACTGCAGCATGATAGAATAAACACATAAGCCCGGTTCTACGATCTCCCTGCTGTGGCAGATCGTCAGCACGTTAAAATCCTTCAAGATCTAAGATCGTTATATCGCCCACCTTTAATTTCTACTACATATATGACCCAATGTCAATACAGATTCATGTTTCAACGGGTGAAGTATCCCTTTAAATATTCCTAAATTGCGTGGAAAAAATCAGCTTTTTGAGTATGAACATTCAGCTCATCCAAAACATTTCTGTAAAATATCAGGAGTTTAGTACATGTGTGAAAACAGTATGAGTGAAATCTGTGGATAATCCAGAGTTAGTGGGTGATTAAAAATAGGATTTCTAATAATTGAATGGGTTAAATAAGAGGGGATAGTAATTTCAAATTGTTGCTTAATGATTTCTTTTTATGTAAAGCATTTTATCCTACATTATTTTTGTATGAAAATACAAACAAAGTTTGACTGATTGATGTAAAGAGGAGTTTTGCTCACTGAAGTCATACATAAAGTTTGCACCTGTTTGTGGACAGATGGAGGAAAACCAATGAAAGTAAAAGGCTCAGAGGCTTCCACATACACAGATACAATATGAGCTGTCCAACCAAAGCTAGAAAGAAAGTATGACTTCCATCAAACAGTCGTAAGGGAGCAGGATTGGTTTTTACTCTGTCCCGCAGGGTTTACTGCCAGGCCCCTGGTGCTATTGGTTTTGCTTTGAGGAAGCTTTTCTTTCTGAGTTTTATTAGGCTAATTTTAACCCTAACATACTGGTCGTATTTCATGCTTCACAGTATGGTCTGTGTCAAAATTGACCTAGTTCAGAAATTCCCTCATAACAAGTGTCCCTACCAATTGTTCAATAACAGATCTATTCATAATGAATGAAAAGCCTACCTGGCATGAATACATGGATGATTAATCCTTGTTTATTGTTTCAGATAGCAGGGAGAGTATATTTTTTTTAGGTTTTCACCACTCATGTTTTTGAGAAAGACATCCATTTCACATAACATGTCAGTTTGTTTAGCTTCCAAAGATTACATGATACATATACATTTTCTGAAACTGAAAATGGCAGGAAATTCTGGAATTATCATGTAACCAAGAAAAACCATTACCACCTTATGTCTCTGTCTGAAGGAATCAAAGAGCTGGACCAAGTCATCGTCGTGCTCTTCACCACACACATGTTCATTGGAGGATTCTTTGGGTTTATCTTGGACAACACCATTCCCGGTTTGTCAAAATATTCCCATTTAAAAATCAACAAAAACAACCAGACCATCACTATCAGCTGACCTTGTCTTTTTTCTTTCTTTCTTCAAGGCACTGAAAAAGAGCGAGGCATCAAGAGCTGGCAGGAGAAGGTGCAAGGGGGAAGCGAATCCATGTGTAATCTTTCTTGCTACGATATCCCTCTTTGCAGCGGTCTTTTGAAACGGTATCGATGTTTCCAGTACATGCCCTTCCTCCCTTCTTACATGTCAAACCAACAGGGGACATCCAAGTAATGAAAGACCAACCTACGAAGAAGCACTGATGCCAGACAGTAGTGGTAGAGCACTGATAAACAACAGTAAAAAGAGGAGAATGCATCAAAAATTGGCTTTAATTCTCACTTGAACATTGTACAAAGGTTGTGGATTTACTTGTCACTTATATTATATATTGGATTAAACTAACCCTAAATCCTACAAATCTTCAAAAGGAAATTACTGGTAAATGTTTGCATTTTCTGTATTGTTTACAGTCAGGGTGAACTGTGGAAGGATCATTACCGGTTGAGATCCCTGCACCCGAGGCCGCGTGGCCCCTCGGTACTGGCAGCGGATCGTCACTCCACTCTCCCTTTTGCTGCATAGTTGACTCAGTGTAGTTTTAAAACTGATAATAAGACTGGAATGCACATGCAGAAATTAGGGTGATGATAAAAGACCAGCTGGCTCTCTTAACCATGAGTAACACAGTAATCTGAGGGGTTAAAGAATTGAATCAGCCACAGTAAATGAGGCTCTAATAAAAAGTATTAAATAAACATAATATATTCCTAAGCACTAAGAAAGCAATATTTTGTCAAATAAATTACACACTACCACATCATTTTGTGGTTAATAAAAAAGTTCATAGGAACTGCCTGGACAAGCTAAACACAACAAGAAACAATCAGATCTGATCAACAATTTGCAAACACACTTGAGGCCTGAAATACACTGTACAATTGTAAAACTATTGTGATGGAATGAGAATCCCAATTATGAGCCTTATCCTGCTTTTGATCATATTCAGGATATGGTGTTTATATGCACACAAAGAAACTTGGTTATTTATATCCCTGTATACATGATCAATACTTGTATCCCAGTTTCTGATTACTGCATCTTATTTGTGCAGAGGCCTGTGATGTTTATTTTTTACAAAACAAACCGTGGCAATTTAGAAATCTGACAAATTTGAGACCACTGTGGCTCATTGTGGGCTTAAATGCCAATATGGCGTTGTAGATATAACGTATCCACCTGATTTCCAGCTACGGGAGGAGAGAGCGACAGAAAATTAAACATGTCCTCACCTCTGACTGGTGTCAACCTGTCACTGCCACCGCTTAGGACAAGGGAGCAATGGGTGATGGTATGCAGTCGTGATTGGTACGTGTTGGGAAACCGGCATCCTGTAGCCTGTTCACCGCAGACATAAATGCCGTCATGTCCATGCTCTTTCCCATCTAAACTTCCAATGATATTTACATTTTTTATTTGCTAAGGACAAAACTTGGTTTCTTTGTCACTACAGAATGAGACGATCTTGTGGCGCCACTGTTTGTTTTGCTGGTATGTCACTTGGCAGGTAGTCAGCAGATATCACAAACTGGGGTAAGGTGTTTACATGCCACAGTATCACATTTTCTTTGGTAGATCTGCATGTTGCAAAATTGTGTTTCTCAAAGTCGAGATAAGGGCTTATCCCGGTGTATGAAAATAGGACATATTTACATGCTGAACAGAAAAAATGGGATACTTAAAAAAACCTGATTAAAACCTAAATACTCAAGACCATGTACTCAGGGTCTTCTCAAACTGTACAATTGAATACTTTATTCCGCACAACCAAATCTTATGAATTACGTGTTTACACTGTTAAATCATGACAGAGCATTGACAATTGTCATCAAAGTTTCCTTCCCACAAACGGAAGTTAAAGTCAACACTAGGTATTTCAGATGTCTCATATGTACGGCTCAAATATAAAATCTGTCAAAAACCTCTTGCTCGCTCGCTCTCTCTCACTCTCTCTCTCTCAAACACTTAGCCTCACCAACAAACACAAGCTTACTAAAAGTAGCTTACTAGCATGCTAAATCATAACAAATATCTTCTGGCAGCTGGTATTCTGCAGCTATTTCCTTAAAGTTAATATCTTTTGTGATAAGAGGGGGAAAACTGGTCGAACAGTTATGCCTGCTTTTGTCATAATGTTTTCAAATGCTGACTGACATTTTACGCAGGTACAGTCAACAAAAAAAGCTGTGAAGTTGTGAATTGTGCTCGATTATGTTCATGTTGTCATACGACCAAAAATATCAAACATGCCAGAAAATCATCTTAGCAGTCGGTTCACCTGTACCACACTGCACGCCAAAACAACAACAAACAAACTTCAAAATCAGTCGTGCGACTAAAAAAAGGCGTCAGAATTGGACTGAACTCGTACAGTGTATGCCCGACCTAAGACACTTCTATAAGTGTGAGGCAGATTCCTTTTTTAAATTGTGCACCAAATGTTGGCATTACCGATGCTCAAAGTGCCTCTCCTACATTTTGGACACCTGACATGCTTGCAGAATTAAATAGATGACCTCTTTATAAACTGATGCACTTTTCCACAACTGTGTCATGAAGCTGCCCTGAAGCCCCGGTTCAGGTGGTATGAATGTGTCGTAACCCATGCGTTTTGTCACTGTATAGAAGTCAAATTTGGGTACAAACATGATGCTTTTATTACATGTAATATAACTAATTTTTGTAACATAATTTGTAATCGTTTCTAAACTGTGACTATAAAGGGTTGTTTTTAAAGACACTTTGGAGTTAATAAAGACTTGTAATTTCCAACATTCTTTTTGAACTGAAAAATGTAGCCTGCATCTATATTTCAGGAGGATTACTTTATGGCCATCTCGAAAGCCAACACAAATTTGTTGCTGTCAAACTAAAGTCTTGGATGAGCAATAATAGATTATTGTTTGCATAAAATGACACTTTAAAAGCTTTGAGAGTAAGCCAAAATAATAAAGTTTCCACCCTGATGGCTAACGCTTCCTTTACTTTCACGAGCACTCCTTTCACATTGACATTGTCAATTTAGTTGCCATTCCTTTTACGATATACTGACTTTTTTTCACATTTTGATTTGTTGATTTACTCTTAAAGTTACTAACTCATTGTTAATATGGATATCAGATTGGTGGAAGGAGTACTTTGTAGCCTGCGGTAGCTGTGTGGAAAATTGGGAAGGTTGGTTTTCTTTCAACAACTCTCATGTTGTTCCTTGTGTACCTGAACTCAATTTCTCCTTTATAGTCGTGCACACTTGCTGCATTTACACACCTCTGTGGGCTAGACAGACAAATTGTAAATATATTAACATCATTTTAAGACCATGATTACACTTTGTTAAATCTAATGACAGATATAACGTCAAACCATCCTGAAAGTAGGTGTTCTGGGATAAATGTGAATGGAGGGCATAAGGAAACAGAATGAAATGAGCAGACTTTGTCTGTTTGACATTATGTGTATTCTGGCAATCAGGCATATCTGGAGAATGGGAGAAGGGCTGGCCCACCTCGAGGCCATCACCAATATGTAATTTGGGGGAAAATGTGTCTAATGTATTGTGGAAAACCATGTCATATGATGTTACACAATCCAGAAATAGTCTTGAGGTTACGCCCCTAAATATACTTATAATGCCTTATTACAACAAACACCTACATACAGTGTGTACAAATGCCAAAAAAAAAAGTTCTACTGTTAAAAATATGGACATTTAAATTTGGGAACTAAAGGGGATTCTGTTTTTTTTCCACAAGGAACTGCAGGGTTTTCTTTTTGCACTTCTGCAACAGCTTAATTTTGTGCCATTGGATGTTCCCGCTTTGTTGAAGTCTATGCAAATACTGTCTTAAGATTTCAACATGATATGTCACGTAACCAGAAAATAATTGTCTTTCCAAAATGTATGCTCTTGAGGATTCTTCTGTGGATAAATATGGCTTTTGACTATTAAGATAATTTGTTGGTTTAGGTCTACCAGCACTCACATAAATAACAACTCAACTTAACGTACAGGAGCCACTAATAGCTGTCATAACTTTGTATTCCATTGACAAAGAGGGTTCACTAAATTGACAGAATGTGTACATGAGGTTTTTCATAACAATGGAGCTAAGAGACCATCAAAAATAAAAAAGTATGTGGGGTGATGCATCAGTATAGACACCACACTGTCTTGCAGTTTAACATTCCTTATTGTCACAAAAAAGCTTTGAAGTGCATGTTGTCTTGCTCTTCATCATAACTGATACTGAAAATCTGGGAAATCTCTTCCTTTCTTGAGATTAGGGTCTATAGCATATCCAACAGTCCAGATTAGCCTGCAGTCTAGCCTTTGGTCTCCTGATCAGGCACAGCATCATGCAGGAAAAGGTCACAAGTCTAATCCCCTCAGGTGTTTACTGTCTATCTCTAAGTGCATTGAGCCTTTGTAGTATGAAAAGGTTCAACACAGACGTCAGACGTCGCAGTTTGCATTGAAACTGGCGCCACACAGAACACGGGTTAGACTGAGTGAGGTCTTTGATAAAGGAAAAAAAACAACTTTTTTTTCCACATTATTATACCGTGATCTTTGTGACTTCAAAGTTTTACTACAAGTAAACTTTTCTTTTCATATAAACTTCTCAGCTCCCACAAAACCCCGACACACCCTGGCAATTCATAGTTAATACTTTAATTTAGTGTAACTGCTTATTAGGTTTTGGTTTAGTCCTATGAGCATGCAGTGGAATGGTGTTACAGATTAGCTGTTATTTTAAGGGTTTTTACGAATTAACTCCAACAATTATGTCACAATAAGGAGTCTTTGAGGATTCAGACACCCCTACAATTGGAACATACCATTTCCCAACATTGGTGTTTGTTGAATGTGTTGTCTGGCTGCTACACTCCAGCTGGCCAGCAAGTTCAGATGTCTTTACTGTGCTACTTTTAGAGTTTTTAGAAACAAATGGTCAAATACATTGGATGAATTAATAACATTCTAACTCTTTCTGAAGTTTAAAGCTTTGCTAACGTGCGCCAATCTTTTTTCCCTTTTACCAAACATTAGCTTACTAATATTAGCTAGCAGATGGTGCACCATTTTTATTTTAAATTTTGTTTTAACAGATAGTGTGGCCTATGTCCTGGCAATTTTAGAAGACATAATATCTAATTTTATCTCAGGACTAAAATAGAATTTTTTTTTTTAACTCAGTCAGTGTAAAATATCCACTAAAAATCAGGGCTGTCCTCTCACAATTAAAAATGTAGGCTACTGTAATGTGCAGTCATCTACAAATAAAAGCAGACAATTGTTGTGAAGCCTAATTTTCCACTGTATGCGGATAAAATTATTCTTTACATGTCAGAAGTACTGCAGGCAAAATATTAGGAAATAAAACCGCACTTTGGCAATGTGTCTTAGCTGTCCATACTATACATGGAAACATCTTAACAGTGTGTTAATTTAAGTCCAGTCACTTTAGTGAGCAAGTGTTTTGAAATGGAGTGCACTTTAATTGTAATCTTCATCTACATATAATTGTGTTTCTTACTCATCATTTATACCTGCTGGGTGTCTTACTAATGATATTGTCACGTTCAGGGGAAAAACAAGGAACTGGACCCAAGTGCAGAATTAACTAAATATATTTAATAAACAAAAAGACCAAAGGCAAAACAATAACTTACTTGAAGAGCCAAAAACTAGAAGTCAAAAAACACAGGAAAAATACTTGAAACACAGGTAAGCAGAGGTCTGGCATAGGACATGGGAAACAACATACAACACCAACAAACAACAATGAACTGATGCAGAAGGGAAGAAACACAGAGACTAAATAGACTACATTTTTATTTTATTTTTTATTTATTTTATTTTTTATATGTAAATACATGCTGCTGTTTTTATCCTGCACTACAACAAGCCAAATGCAACAAAATTTCGTTCTTATCTGCACTGTAAAGTACAAGTTTGAATGACAATAAAGAAAGTCTAAGTCTAAGTCTAATCAAACACAGGTGAGACTAATGACACAGGTGAAGACAATGAGGGTAATCACACTGGAGGGAAACACATAGAGGCAGGAATGAACACAAGACAAGAAACATTGAGGACAACTACAAAATAAGATACATGAAACACTGAAGACACTGTAGAATGAAAAATTAAGGAACACTAGAACATAGAGGGAAACACCAGGGAAGAATGAGATCTAAAAGATAAATACAACTAAACTGTGAAAAACAAAACTAAACAAACCGAATCATGATAGATATAACAATAGAATATGTACATTGAAGCATTTAGTGTGAAGTAATTTACATACAGCTTTTATGACAAAGCAGGTTGAAATGGGGCCACACAAAGCGAAAACCATATGCCAAAGCCATGTGGGTTGGCCGAGTGCCAAGTTTGACACTTACCCGCAATTTCCACATAGTTTCCTGGGTGCTGCGTTCCATCAGTGCTACAGTTTTGCTCCACCCTACGGTGTGAGTGCAGCCAAGAGCAGCTGGACACAGCACAGCAGATCCCTGAAGAACTACAAAATCACACAGGAATAATGAGAAAAACAAACAAACAATATGTTGCTTTTTTCTTTCTGAAGTTGATTTACTGTTCATTGGGTGCCTGTTGCGACATTATGTTGATATGGTGATGGAATATACAATCTAGAGTCTATATATTGTGTTTTATTTTGAATTTAACAGGATGCTCTGTGCGTTTCCTTGTCTAACTTCCTTTGAAAATAGACTCGATGTGTATTTGGAACATAGCAGAGAGGCGCGATGCTCTTGGCACGCTCCAGAAACAGAATAGGGTGCGTACTGTGGAAAAACAATCACTGAATAGAATGGGAGCGAACGACGGAACGTGAAGCGCACAGACTAGATGGAAATTGCTTGTTAGACTTTCAGCAAGTTGAGGAACAGCCACACATACACATTTAAGATGGTCGTCTAGTCTAGCCACTCAGTGGGCATAAATCTAACAGGATTAGTAAATCCTAATCAGGTTGAGTTGTATTGACAGATGAAAGTGTTCATTTAGTGAATAGATGTTCTGAACGTGAAGTATTAGAGAGAAGTCTGTCAAGGCATTACCAGCCATGGGTTATGTAGAAACATGACTCAGTCTTGGAGTTGTGCCAACTCTGAACTGGTCTTTCATCTCATTCAATAAAACTAAGCGTATCAATTGGAAACATGGACTCTTATCTGCTCTGTTTAATCAATTCAATTAGTGAGATTTGAGAAATACAGAAAAACAGAAATATCAAAAATGTATCAATATAAACATCTTGAATCTTGAACAGCAGGACAGATTGATAGATTTAGTTAAAGTCAAATTTAATTGAAAGGGTTTGAATCTGAACAATTTGAGGTGACTTTCAAAACAGAGTTATAAGGAAATTGAAAGATTTCTGGGCACTGTTTGGGGACAGAAGAAATTAATCTCTGTTTGCCAGCTAGAACAACAGATAAGAGCTTTGAGTAAAAGATGGCACAGGTTTGCTTAAGCTCCTTTATGCAGCTTTAGTCCAAGGTACACCATATTGAATTAGGCCTCGTGTCCCACTAGGCTGGAAGCTCTTATCTATTAATCTCAAATTGGTCGTGATAGTAATAGAAGATCTCCAAGTTGGTCAGTATCAATAAGGTTTTGGGTAATGTGTTCACTCACTGATTTACACTGGTGCACTACATCTGTGGTGCCCTTTGCACAAAAAATTAAGTGGAAAACGTTCTCTCCTGGCAAAGTGAACATTTATTCAGGCTACATCTTAGT